CAGTGGAATAACTAGGGATGGGCCTTGGGGCCAAAGTCCAATGCCCACAGTCCCCTAAATAACCACCAAGACAATGCCAGTTGATAGCAGCAACAGAAGTAAACCCTACCATATTCTGGTAGTTATTATAGCGCTCTGATGTAAGTGAGTTAAAAATAGAACCCTACACATGTTCCTATCATCATTTTCATTGTTGGGGTTGGCAAACATTTTTATCGTTTGAACATATCAAGAATGTTGGAACCACTGTAACCCATGGAATGGTGGCTGGGAGACAAAGAGAAATATTTGAAAGAAATATTGACCCCTGCCCTCAGAAGACCATTAAGTCAAGGATCTAAAGATACATTGTTTAACCACTGCTTCTTTCCCTCTCCAAAAGTATGCAAGTTTAAAGCTTCATGAGATTGTTTACATCAGGTAAAATGGAAAGCCAGCTGGATCAAATGAGTTATTTGGTTTTAGTTACTAATAGGAGGATGATATAGAGAAGTAACTTTCTTTTATGTGCCTGGTGCTTGAGAAATGATGTGAACATAACACCCATATGCACGATTTACTTCGATTTCTGGTCTGTCTGAAGTGGCAGGTGCTGGGAAAAGAGTTCCTGTACATTCCACAGGTTAGAGTGACAGGAACAGGGAGGTGGCCATATCACAGTAAATTTACTGCCCTCTGTCAGGGATGCTGCACAAGCACGTCCAGGTGTGGTGGCAAGGAAGTTGCCTCTTTTGACCATGTTGAAAAAAATGCCCCTTGATTCCAACAAAGCAATATTAAAACAACCAGATAAATGAGTGTTTCTTAAGGTAATTTCATCCTTGAATGCAACGGAATGAGGACCAAAACAAAGACAACAAGAGAAAGGAGGTATCGTGTGCTCACATGTGAAACTAGGAGGAGAAGCTTGCTAGAGGCATGCATGCAAGGATGTCTTTTGTGTGATCAGATAGCACTGCAACCACAGGATGTTTCATAACTGCTGTGCCACTTACTTCATTATACAATTTCCAGAGACTTTGTTTAGGGAGTGTTGCAGAAACAGAATGGCTGCCCAGTGAAATAGTTCAGGCAAGTTAACCTGGTGCCTCCACAGGGCTTTTGGGCCTGGTGTTCAAACTATTCCATAGACATCTAAAATTTGAAGATTGCAGCCAAATGTTGATGTGCTGAGCCTGTCCTCTGTTCTCTTGGGAGAGAAGAGAGGCTGGCTGGTTGCCGTCTATGCCAGTGCTTGACCTGAAAAAGTACTTGTGTTCTTTAGAGTATTCAGTCTAAAGAATACTCTAAAGTATTAGACTGAAAAGTATAAAGGTTATACTTCAGTCTAATTCAGGTTCTCTGAATTTACTCAGGACAACAGCACTGGGAGAAGGAATGTTTAACGTTTCCTTGAGCTGACCGTCCACAGTTCTCCCCACCCCTGCAGCCGCTGTCTTGCCCCACAGTGGAAAATAATAATGATAACAGTAGCAACCACCAGCTCCATCCGGCATTATGTGCATTTCCACCCCGGGGCAGTGCAGCTGTCATGCAGCCTTGGCCAAAGAATCACACATTCCTTCTATCTGGATGGCTGGCCTCTTCCACCAAGCTCGCACATGGAGCGGTGAGGGGGACACCCACCTAGCCAGCCAAATCAACCCTGGCAATTTCACAGCCAGATCAGATCACCCTCACTCCCCATTTCTGCCGCAACATCTTCAGAAGTCATGTAGACTGAGGAACCAGTGTGGGTTGAACTTCCCCTTCCCAAACATCACCGTTCTGATCAGTTTTAGATAGCAGTTGTTCTGAAGTAAATGAAAGTTGGGAGGTTGAACCACAGTGTTCTCATACCACTTTCCACCAAACACTCTGTTGCGAAGTAGTAGTGTGCAAAGTGTATGTTTTGCCCAACACTTGGTTAAATGCAGGCTGTGCCCTCAGAAATAGGGGCCATCTGATGTTCCTTTCAGTGTCTTCTTCACGTAGCAATAGAAGTTAGTGTTGCTGCCCTTTGAACAGTTGTACAGAAGGGAGAATTTTCTCAACCTCAGATTTAGCATATTACAATGTTCCAGGCCACAATTTCTTCTTCAATACCTACTAAACACCCAGATGCCCTGTTTTATTATCCTTAAGCCACTTGATGCAATCCCAATTTACACTGCATCAGCTGCACTGGCCAAAGGTGGCTTCCTTACACATTCCCTCCCATGGCAGCCCCTCCTGCCCCTGCAAAGGCTAAGAAAATCAGAAAACCCTGTTGAGCCGTAGGAACAGGAATTCTAGAACAACTAGACCCATGAACGTGGACACACTCTGGACCTGGTTTTCTCGACGGGGCAGGAAGAGGGTGGTCTGAGGGTGAGGATTTTATGTCTGACACCCCTGTCATGGTCAGATCACTTCCTCGTGAGGTTTGGGCTCGAGAGCGGCCTCTCCCTCTGTAAGGGTGCGGACCCGATTGTGTGGGTCCGTCCCCAGAGCCAGATGGATCCGGACGGATTCCTGAAGGCCCTGGGGGTGTTTCCGGCTGACAAGACTGGTGCTCCTGTCGAGGCTCTGGTTGAACTATGGAACGGGGAGATGACTAGGGCTGTTGACACGATCGCTCCCAAGCGTCCTCTCCCACCAGGCAGAGCCCACTCCTCCCCTTGGTATACACCTGAATTGCGGGCAATGAAGCAGGCTGGGAGACGGCTAGAGCGTAGGTAGAGGAGATCACGGGATGAATCTGACTGAACACACTTAAGAGTCCATTATCGGGCCTGTGCTGTGGTGGTGAGGGCGGCGAAAAAGAAATTCTTTTCCGTTTCCATTGCCTCCTCAAAATGCCGTCCAATGGAGCTTTTTCGAGTGGTACATGGCCTGGTCTGTCCTGGCCCTAAGAAAGATCTGGTTCCACCCTCGAAGGCCTGCTGTGATGACTTTGCCAAGTATTTCAGGGAGAAAATCGCTCAGATTCGTCATGAGCTAGACTCTACTAGTGATTCAGAGGCTTTTGGGGAGATACCAATGTCGCCACTTGGTCCAAAATTAATGGATGAATTTCAGTTATTGCGGCCTGATGATGTGGACAAGGAGCTTGGACGAGTACGTCCCACCACTTGCCTATTGGACCCTTGCCCATCTTGGTTAATAAACAACGCCAAGCACGGGATTGGGATCTGGATCTTGGAAGTGGTTAACACTTCTCTGAGGGAGGGTTGGGTACTTGCCCCTTTAAATGAGGCCGTAGTCCGACCGGTCCTGAAGAAAGCATCTCTGGATCCAGAGATGGCCACTAATTATAGACCAGTGGCCAACATCCCTTTTCTGGGCAAGGTGTTGGAGCAGGTGGTGGTGAGACAACTCCAAGCACTCTTGGATGAAACTGATTATCTGGACCCATTTCAGTCCGGCTTCAGACCCGGGTACGGTACTGAATCTGCCTTGGTCACCTTGTACGATGACCTGTGCAGGGAGAAGGACAGGGGGAGTGCGTCCCTGTTGGTTCTTCTGGACCTCTCAGCGGCTTTTGATACCATCGACCATGGTATCCTTCTGGATAGGCTAGCGGGATTGGGGGTCGGAGGCACTGCTTTGCAGTGGTTCTGCTCCTATCTCAATGGTCAATTCCAGAAGGTGGTGCTGGGGGACTATGGCTCTGCACCATGGCAGCTATGCCATGGCATACCGCTGGGGTCCATTTTGTCCTCTTTGCTGTTTAACGTCTACATGAAACCGCTGGGAGAGGTCATCAGGAGGTGTGGGTTGCGTCAGGAGCCAGGCTGCTGACGGGGCGTTATGTTCACATGATTCCAGTCCTCCGTCAGCTTCACTGGCTTCCCATTGAAGTCCGGGCCCAATTCAAGGTGTTGGTGATGACCTATAAAGCCCTTAATGGCTTGGGTCCTGGTTCCCTGAAGGAGCGCTTATCTCCATATATGCCCGCCTGCCCCTTGAGGTCTGCGGGAGAGGCCCTTCTCCGGGAACCCTCCGTGAAGGAAATTAGGAGGGTGAGTACTCGGAGGAGGGCTTTCTCTGCGGTAGCACCCAATCTATGGAATGCGCTCCCCAGAGAGGTGCACCTGGCGCCATCATTATTTGTTTTTCGGCCCCAGGCGAATACCTTTTTATTCAAATGTCATTTTAATTGTTAATAGTATTTATTCATTATATTCTTTGGCCAGGGCGACTTAATTTATACTGTTAATTTATATTATTTTAAGGAAGTTTATTTATGGATGTGAGCCGCCCCAAGGCTTCGGCAAATAGAGTGGCATAGAAGTCTAAATACATACATACATACATACACTTTCTTGGATGACTAGCCACTCTGGGAGAGGATGGGAGATGTTAACCCTATGATACATTTGCTGGAAGAAGTTATCTGATGGCATGTTAATCACTACATACTTTGGGTTATAAGGGACGGGTCATATTTCAGAGTGCCACAGTTCTGCATTATCCTTTATTTCATGTAGGTGGCACTTCCCCCGAACCAGAAAGCAGGCAATGAAACATATGTTGTGCCCATTAGCATTTAATACTGCATTCATGTTGCGGAAGATAAGTCAATCTTACAAAAACTGGCTTCATTAAAACATCATCTTAAATATGTTATGTTTTTCAGTGGCGCTGCCAACATAATGTTGACTGCGGCTAATCATGTTTACTTCCTTGAAACTCCTGAGCAAGTGTTTTTATTAATCCGTTCCATAACCATGCCTCTTGGATGACATCAACTATTTATGGGAAAACCTTAAAGCTGGATGTCTTTGTTATTATGGGGAAGGATTCTGGTATTTCAACAAACAAATTCCAAGCAGGCTTACACCACACATTTCTTTGTTTGGTGTTGCCCTTGTTCTTTTTCATCCATCAATGTTAACCTTATCAGCATGGCACAGTAACATAAGCTACCCCATAGAACTACATGTTCATGGGTGAAGACTTGAATGGTTGACTTGTACTTGATTCTTTTTTCTTTTCCCCCCTCGCATGATCATAAATGCATCCGTGTTTGTTTGCAGGCCACTACTACGGTGTATGTAACCATCCTAGATGAGAATGACAATGCCCCAGTATTCCGGCAGCAGCTGTATGAAGTCACCCTGGATGAGGGCCCAGGCACACTCAACGCCATCCTTATCACCATCAATGCTGTGGACCTTGATGAAGGTCCAAATGGCACAGTTACATATGCCATCATCGAAGGAAACATCATGGGCACCTTTCACATCAATGGCACTACAGTGAGTACACGCTCGCATCACAGTTCCACTTCGCGCTACTACCTTTGCACAATTCATTGGCATTTCATTGAATGATTTCAGCCATTGTTGAGCAAGAACATTTGTGGGTCTCTTGCTTCAGGGACAGATCCGCACAGTGAAGGAGCTGGACTATGAAATCAGCCATGGCCGTTACACACTGATCGTCATTGCCACAGACCAGTGTCCAGTACCCTCCCGCCGTCTCACTTCTACCACAACGGTATGTATGAGTCTATTCTGGGAAAGAGCATGAAACATGGATAAGCGAGCACCCCTCCAGCCACACTCCTGACTTGCTAGTTGCTACAGCCAGTTCCCTCCGTATTTTAAAACAAGCTTCTGATAACAAGATTGATGCTTTCCTTGAAGAGCGCACAGCCAAGTTCTGGCTCTGCCACTGCATTAAGTAAATCCATTCTGAATAGCGACTGCATCAGTGGTTCTCAAGAAGGGAAGGAATTCCATGACCCATTTCCAGAGGAAGAACATGCTTCTCTCTGATTTGTCTGCAGGATATATCTTGATTTGGCAAGGATGAGGGGAAATCAGTGCAATATGAAAAAAGTGTGCGCCCGCTACTTGTATTGATTGTAGGGTGGGGGTTCATAGGCACAGCCCCCCTATTTCCTGAAGGTTTTCCTCCACACCCTTCCTTTGCCAAGCTAATCAAGTGGGACCATGCGACAGGTCCTTCCTTTTCTTCTTGGAATTTGTTTGATCTTAACGGTAAGCGCTGCTTGAGCCTATGATTTCTGCTCCAGTATGCATTATGGTATATTTAATATATACACATTTGAGAATGTTCCAGGGGGCAGCTGTTCACAGCAGCAATACTTCCCCATGAAAATTGCCTGCGTTTCACCACAGCACTGCAAATGTCCAGCAGCAAAGGCTTGCGTCAGTAAAATGATGAAAGCATCAGTGAAGCGTGTGGAATTGCACTGGGAGCATTGCGCTGTCGGCCCCATACACACGTGCAGCAGCACAAGTCCTGTTCCTGGAAAGATGGCATACATTTGGTGCTTTTCTGAAAAGGTGCACACATGATTCACCTTGATGCTGCAGAGATTGTCCTGTTTTGTATTCGTCGTTATTAGGAATAAGTAAACTTATTACTTGCTTAATATCATTACTATTACTATTTACTTAGTAATGTAATTGCTATTACTTACCATCATGTTTACACAATAAAATTTCCTTTAGTGTGTAGCATGCACCTAGTGTGTAGTTGCATGTACATTTGTGCTACACGTGCAATTCCATGCATTTTGAACACAGGTTCTTATTTTTTTGCATCAACCTGAATTGCATTCTTTTATTCAGGAGCAAATCTAAAATGGCCAAATTGTGCTCTTGGACCCCCGTAAGTGGAGGGCGTGGCCCAGTGTGCCTGTTCTGCTGGCTGCGACTGATTCACAATTTACATGTTAGCTTGCCTGTGATTTCCTGAGGGAGTTCCGCCCTGCTTCAAAACACACCTCCCCCAGTACAGTTCTTTCTCTTGGTTCAAGCTGAATATAACCTGAATGTTAGGTCTGAAGTGGATTAAACAAGCTTGTCAAAATGTCTGGGTGTGAAATCTGGACAATGAAGAACACTGACTGGAATAAAATGGATGTGCTCGAAATATGGTGCCGGAGGAGAGCTTTGCAAGTACCTTGGACTGACCGAAGGATGAGTCTGTGGGTCCTAGATGAAATGAAGCCAGAACGTTCCCTGCAGGAAACTCAAGTCGTCCTCCTTTGGACACATAAAGAGAAGGCTAGACTCCCTGGAGGAGACAAGCATGCTAGGGAAGGTTGAAGGCAGGAGAAGAAAAGGAAGATCAACCAGGAGAAGGATCCATCCCATAAAGGAAGCCACAGCCTTGAGTTGGCAAGAGCTGGGCAGGGCTGTGAAGCAGGGGACCTTTTGGCAGGCACTCATTCATAGGGTCACTGTACGCTGGAGGCAACTCGATGGCACGTAACCTCAGCAGAAGCACTCCTGAGTCATAAGCATACAAATTGATCTCTGGCATATCCAGGTAGGGCAGGAAAAAACCGAGAAGAACTGTTGCCGGTCTGTGTTGCCAGTACTGGACTAAATGGACCAGTGGTCTGACTCAGCATAAGGCAGCTCCTGAATGCATGGAATTGCTTCTCCATGTGAGGGCTGTGAGTAATTTAAAGGGGCCTCCATATGGCAGCTGTTAAAGATAATGGCGTGGCCGTTATTTTGGAGGTGGAGGTGGAGAGTTGGCTTTCTGCAGTGCATTCTTTGATTCTGTAGTGCAGGCTTCTACAATCTCATGTCAGTTCATCCCTTTAATCTGCGATCACAGCACCATGAAGCTGAGGGTCTGGCCATACGTGCAGAAGTTTATCTCAGACTCTGCAAAGATTAGATAAAATAAGTTGTGAGGGAAGCTTTTGTGTTCGAGTGAAAATTGTCCATCCAGGCCACCAAGTTCCCACAGCAGAGCATGTTGCTCTCATATTCACACTGAAATGCAGAATGTTCTGTTTCAGTAATTGGGTTTTTCCAAATCCTACTATGTCGAAAAAGGATGATGTAGTGGTTGTCTCCATTTTATTTCTTTATTTAAATTTTTTCTATGCCGCCCATGACTAAAAAAATGTCTCTGGATGGCTTACAAGAAAGGAAACCAAGAAGAAAACCCTAATGACAGCACACTGCATCTAAAATAGCTGTAAAAACAGGATAAAAACAGGATAAAACCAATTAATTGTTAAAATACTGAGAGAATAAAAAATATTTTATTAATTAATGTATTCGTGTGCCACAAAGGCTCTCTGCTTACCGGTTTCTGCACAAAGAACATTGAGAAGCATTGCGCTAGTTGCTGCAAACAAATCACTGCTTAGAATAGTGATGAATGCATTCCCTTTCTTGCCTATGTTTCTTCCTCTTGCAAGGAGTCCAAGGTGATTTAGAAGATAAATGAATAACAACTCCAACACCATTCTGGGGAGTTGTGTGAAAGATGGCTCCATTTTCTTGGCAGTAGGGTTATCGCCATTTCCTCAGTGTTTTACCTGCCCCAAATCAACATTCATACAGACAAAACTGCTTTGAGACCGCCTTGTGCTTTAAGAACATTAGAGCTCTTCTGTGCATTTTCGTGCTCCTCTCAGGTGTTAGTGAACTTGAATGACATCAATGACAATCAGCCAACATTCCCACGTTCTTATGAAGGGCCCTTTGACATCACGGAGGGACAGCCAGGTCCAAGGGTGTGGACCTTCCTGGCCCATGATGGAGATTCAGGACCCAGTGGACAAGTAGAGTACAGCATCGTTGGAGGGGATCCTCTTGGTAAGTGGCAGAAGGGAAAGAGAAAGGGGGTGAGTAGACTTATGTTTGCAGTTCTTTATCCATCCAGAAAATGCATGCATTGTATTCATCTTATGCACAGATTTTGGGAAGGAACAGCCATCCCACAGGGAGTAGTATGAACCGAGGACTTAGTACTATATTCCTTTCTCTTCCCCTACTTCCCCAAATAAATACCTGTTCTTACTAAACCTGTTTCCTTATATGTGGTATAAGAGCATTTTCCTTGGTCTAATTCCAAGTAAAAACTTCAAACCAAGTAAGGTTCTTCTTTTTATGTTCTCAATTCTGGGGCCTTCCTTTAAATCCCAGGAATGTCTGTTCTTATTCTGTTTTTACCATCGATTCTTGGCATGGACTTGGGCAAGTGCACATCGAACGGATGTGCAAAGTGGATGTCCTAGTGCCATACCTCACAGCCTGAGGTAAGCACATTGCACATCAGAAATGCCACTGAAATGTTGAACAGTAATTATAACAAGCAATAACATGTCTCAGCTGCCCCCTGATGTTTGCTCCTCCAGTGTAATGTTAGGAATTATTATTATTATTATTATTATTATTATTATTATTATTATTATTATTGGGCATACTTTTCAGTACTGGCTCTAAGAACTGTGAATGAAAAATGATGTCCCTCCCCCAACTTTATGTCAAGAAAATTTGCATCAAGTTAAGCAATAGGATGATTTGCGAAAGATCCAAGAGTGTGGATAAATATTTGGACAGCCTTTCTGGGCAGAGTTAGACCATGTCAATTAGCCCAACCTCTCTCATGCAGGCCAAGCTACTCACTTTGAAATCACAATGCCAGGCACACAGAAGGAAAATTACTTGGGGAGAGGGAAAGGGTGTGGGGGAAAAACAGAGATAAATGTCTTAGGATTGTGAATGGGCCATTTGAAAAACATCTCTCAGTGGCCTGTTTCTCAGAAGTTGGAGTGTCTACATCAGGAAATCCTGTTACAAGCGGCATCCGCCATTAAAGGAAACATTGCAAAATTGTTGTACTTTGCTCTCCTATAAGATGGCTTGAGGTTTTGCAGGTTCATCCCACAAATGAAAAAGGGAAATCAAATGTGCTAAAAGGGACTGAGAACTGCTTTGCAGTGTGAGAGGAAGGCACCTCTTTTCAAGCAATGTTTCAAGCAAACATAAGGACATGTTTCCAGCCTCTGTCTGGACTTCAGGAGGGTTAGGTGTGTTCTTTGAGAGTCGATGTATCAGAGGCGACTTCTGCAGGATTTCTGGAGTGTCACGAGCCTTTCAAAACTTCATCAAACTGTAATCAAAAGTTTTCATGTTTTATTATTTATTTTCATGTTATACCCACCCTGCTCCAAAGGCATGGAAAAGATAATGATTTAAAAGGGATTTAAGTCCCACTAAAACACAATAGAATTCAGTGGAATTAGAATCTTGCTGAAATTGTTTGGTGCTGTGCTGGTATAGAAAGATCCCTTTACTTACACATTTAGTGAGCGCCTGGATGGGAGAAAAGTTGGTAGCAGACAGTATACAAAAGTTTTAAATAAATAAATAAGTAAATAAAATATCTCAGGATAACATGGCCTTGGCGCAAAATGAATGTAAGGTGTAAAGCCAGCTCAGATTCCTGAAGGTCAACCATATTACAGTCCTCTAAGGGCCAAACTAGATGAAGGGGTGGATGTCAGATTTCCTAATTATTTTTCTTTCTTCTTTTCTGTTTTACAAAAGCAGTCAGCATCTTAGCATGAATGATGGGCCGTTTCCGTTGTGCTATTTTCCCAATTTAAAGTGCAATCTTCTGAATCTATTTGCCCCACTAGGAAAAGCATATAGGTGTCTATCTGCTGCCCCAAAGGAGTAAATAGCAGTTTGGATGGGGAAGTTAGAAAGAGAAACTTTGTAGAAAAAACACTTTGTCACACCTTTCCCCTGTGAAATGGCCACCATCTCCTTGGGCTTTCCTCCCTTTTTGTGTCTGCCTCCTTCTGCAACTTTTCTTTTTTTCATTTTATTTATTTATCTATTTTTCGATTTATATCCTGCCTTTTTCCTACAAAGGACTCAAGGCAGCTTACTTCATTCTCCTCCTCCATCTTATCCCCACAACAACCACCCTGTGAGGTAGGTTGGGCTGAGAGTCTGTGACTGGCCCAAAGTCACCCAGTTGGCTCCATGGCCGAGCGGGGACTAGAACCCAGGTCATTTGAGTCCCAGTCCCATGCTCTTAACCACTACGCCACACTGGCTCTCAATGTTTTGGAAACATTTCATTTAGTTGCACTGTGCGACACATATCTGGAAGAAATAAAACAAGATGTTATAAAAAGCAAATTGGTCTAGATTTTCAGATCATTAAATAATTACGAGATGACACAATTGTGACCACTTTAGAACAGCAAGAGAATGTTTTGAGAGCAAGGAGATTAAAACGGTGATTTAAATCATTAGAAGGGGAGAGGATGGGGCAAGAAAGAACATGAGATGTTTTTCATATTTGTTTTCATATAACTAGTCAATACGCAGTGTGCTTTCATTTTCAGTTCTTGTTTTGCCAAGAGCATGAACAAGCTTCAGCCAAAGGTTTGCCACACCCAGATACGCATTATCAGAAGCCCTCTAGAGCCCGTGTGAGTGCTGGGTGGGGGGAAAACGATACGATAAGAGAAGCTAAGGCATTTTGTGCTTCTCCAGGTACAATTCAATGTAAGTTTTGACAGAGAAACATAGAAACAGAGCGAGTCAGAAGGGGCCTCCCGGGCCATCTAGTCTGACCTCCGGCACCAGCCGGCTCCAAGCAGCCCTCAGCATGCCTCCATCAACCATCTAAAGTTGTATGGGATTGTGTAGTTTAGCTTATTTTAAAAGCGACTTGAGAGAGTACAGTGAAAGTTTGTGAAGGATGTGTGCAAAGAGATATTCACCTTTCTCTCTTAGGAGAGGGGGCTGCTTGCACACGGAGGGCTCCGAGCACTAGGAACTAGAGGGTGTTGTGCAGTTCTCCTGTCTTTTTTCATTGATAGATTTCCTGTGATGGGAAAGAGACAGAAAAGGTGCTGAGGAAACCTGGGAAGCTTATAAGAGGAAGGTGGTATCATCTGACCTCCCCCCCCCCAATCTATGGGAGAAGCAGGACTAGATCATTTGCTGAATGTGGAATCTCCTAGGGAGGATTAGAGTTTTTCTCTGATAAAACAAGTCTCACCGTGTGCTGGGAATGCAAAAGAGGGCTGTTTTGGGCGCACATTCTCCAGGGCTGCCGGCTGCTCTCCAGAAGGATCAGAAGAAGGGGAAGAGGTGCACGAGGGAGCCCAGGAATGTGAGCTGTCCCAAGACTCTGAGATGAGAGAAGCAGAGGTGCTTATCTCAAGGCCAGGCTCCCCAGGTGGGCAGGCAGCCTCTGGGAAAACCCAAATGTCGAGGAAGGGAGTAGGAAGGGACTTGGAGCAAGGGAGCTTCTCAGACAAGGGAGCCACAGCTCCTGACCCCAACAGAGGGGTCAAGAGCCCAATTAGAGGATGAGTGCACAGAGAGAAGGCATGCTAACTGCCAGAAGGCCCCTGATGGGGATGGGGGCCAAGCAAGTTCATAAGGAGAGTCCCTGGAGGTGAATGCTAGATTGGATACATCAAACTGCTCTGTGGATGCTCAGAGATTCCTTCTGGGTATCTGTGTGCTTTGGTCAATAAAGAATGCTTTGCAAGGAAAGGTCTGTGGCTTTGAAAGTGCAAAAGAAGAACTCCAGCTCCTGACAGCATGCATGCCTTGTTGCTTTGACGTGAGCTTGGTACAAGTATGAGCAATCTGGATTCTGTTTGGATCTTGTGGCTTCATGGCATATTGGTAGAGAATGCATCACCAATGTCTCTGTAGAAATGCAGAAGTATAGAACTTCATGCCCTGGGATGGAATCTGGCCCTCTGGCACTCTCCCCCAACCACCCATTGTTTGGTGGTTTGATGGCTTTTTTGCAGTTTTCCCGGATTCTGAGAGGTGGAAGTGCCTCTCTGAAGGCTCAGTTACTGGCAGTAAGAGCTTTACACTAAAAGGAAGTAGTATTTGGGGCCTGCCTACCACTGAAACAGGGCCCAGAGAACTTTTTCAAAATGGGATTCAGCTCTCAGAGGCTCTGCACCCCTGATTTAGATGAGAACAGTTGAACCTCTTCGAATGCATGTTCTTGTCCTTCTACATCAGTGTGCATCCCCCTGGAAAAGAAGGGATGGGAACCTGAAGTTCTCCAGGGCTTCTTCCAAAGTGCTTTTAGCCGTCCAGAGATGTGCAGCGTAATTGGATGGGATTAAAATTCCCAAACAAACAAAGGTTGGCAAATGTCCCTCCATGCCATATTCCATGTTCCCCCTCTTCCTGCATGTCTGTGCCTGTCTTGCAGGGGAATTTGTGATCTCACCTGTGGAAGGAGAACTGCGCGTGCGGAAGGATGCTGAACTGGACCGAGAGAACATTCCTTTCTATAACCTCAGCATTGCTGCCAGGGACAGAGGCGTGCCACCTCTCAGCTCCAGCGTAAGTCTTCGTGGTTCAGGGGCCTGAGAACAAAGATGAGGTGCTGAGCCATCGTGAAATTCAGTTGTACATGTTTGATGGAAAACTTGAATTGTTCTCTGTGAAGAATATGGGAAAGGAAAAAGAACAGTGAATGAGACAACCTTTGAAAAACCAGGCAGCTTAGCAGTTTTTGTCATAATGGTCTCAGGCATGTTTTCCACGCTCCTCATCTTCCTGCCTTCTGTGTTTCAGGTCATGGTCGGTGTGCGTGTTCTCGACATTAACGATAATGACCCTGTTCTCTTGAACCTGCCGATGAATCTCACGCTCAGCGAGCATGCCCCCGTCTCCAGCTTTGTCACTCGCATCTTTGCCAGCGACGCAGACAGCGGCAGGAATGCTCTCTTAACCTTTAGCATCACAGCAGGAAACATAGAAAATGCTTTTTACATCAACGGCACAGTAAGTCTGCAAGCTTCTTTTTCACCTGCAAAGATGCACACAGGGCTTCCAACCCCACACAGTCTGGGACAATCATGATGCCTCTCTTCATGGTCATGTGAAGTAGAGTTACGCACACAGTAATTCTGTTAGAACAATTATATCTTTCTTCTAATTGATCCCAAGGAGGTGAACAATATAAGTTAAAACACTATTGTAAAAACAGTTTGACAACAATAATTAGAGCAAGTCATCTATAAAAAACTGAAACAGCAGTGGAAAAATGATAAGAACATGCTGGATCAGACCAGGCATCCATCTAGTCCAGCACGCCACACACACAGTGGCAATCCAGCTGCCCACAGCTGGATGGGTGCAAGACCTCTGCCTGCCTATTTCCCCAGCAGCTGGGGTATGCAGGCATGCCACCCGTGCTAAAGGAGTAGCCAAGGATGGCCTCCTCTTCCACTAAATAATGAAACTATCTAAAATAATAGTCATAGTGACTGTACCCACGTCAAAAGAGGAACAACCATTTATGATCCAAAAGACTCCATTAAAAGGCCATTCTAACTTCCTTTTTAAAGCATGGTTCTTGGGAGGGGGGTGGCTCTTGAGCGCTGTACAGTCTTGGGATGAAACTGATTACTTGGATCAGTTTCAATCTAGATTCAAGCCAGCTTTGGGGACAGAATTGGCCTTTGTAATTCTTTTGGGTGATGGTCACCAGAGACTGGACGATGTGAGTGCAGTTGTCAGGATACTGCTGGATATCTGAGCAACTTTTGACAGGATTGCTCGTAACATCTTCCTGTACTGATTGCTTGATTTGGGAGTCAGTCGCATCTAGATGGCCAACTCCAGAAGGTTGTGTTGGGTGCTTCTGTTCTCCTCTATGACCTCTGACCAGTGGGGTATATCCAGCTTCAGTCTCACCTTTTCTGCTTTTCTACGTCTGTATGAAGTGCTGGGTGAAGTCACCTAAGCCTCGCACTGCAGTTTTCAGTCTGCTGGTTGCTGGCCTCTGTTTACCTCTGTTGTCCACCTCTGAATCCCAAAGAAGCTGAGGGTATCCTGGATGAGGGCTCTGTTACTGTTCTGAAACGGATGAGGGAAAGTCAACCAGATCTTAAACCAGTTGAGAAAGAAGTTTTCTGAACTGGGACACTAGCTATTCTGCCCAGGGTCATCAAACCAGTCCTAGTCAGGGTTGCCCTCCCCTTGAAGGATCAAGGCTTGCTGTTGGGGAGTTTTCTTGCACTTGGCCTCGTCCAGGTTGTGGCACTGTCAAAGGGCGTCAGCTCAGGACAATACAGCAGCTGCCGCCCTGTGTAGACTATTTCCCCCAGGGGCAAGCAACCCAAGGCCTTTCTTCCAGCATGCTAATGCTTGACTCACTGGTGTGCCCCGTGCCGTACCCCAGCCTGTTCCCCTCGTGCCATTTCTGCCACAATCACTACAGGCAAGACTTCTTCCCTAGTCCTACTGAATGTGGAGGCTTGATTTGTTTGAGTATTTGGACTTCTATCCTACCCAAATGGAACAAATTAATTATATAACTAGCATATTTACTTATTTTATTTCTATCCGGCCTGTTTCCTTCAAGAAACTCGAGGTAGAGTACATAAATCTCCTCCTCTCAATCTTCTCTTAACAACAACCTTGTGAGGCAGGTTGGGCTGGGAGTGTGAGGCTGGTCCAAAGTCACCCAGTTGGCTGCATGGCCAAGTGGGGGTTACAGCCCAGATCCCCGGAGTCCCAGGCCTGCACTCTTAACCACTGCACCCCATGGGCTCTCCACGTAACATCACAGAGCCTCATAGAGCAGGGCAGGCTTGCATAGTGTTTAGCATTGGTCTGGGTCTTAGAAGATCTGGGTTCTAGGCTCCACTTGTCTCTGAAGCTGATTGCGTGACCCTTGGTCAGTTGCTGACTCTCAGCCTATCCTTCCTCACATGCTTGTTCTGATGGCAAAATAGAAAGGAGGATTATGTAAACTACCCTGGATTATTTGTGGGGGAAAGGTCAGGAGATCAATATAATAAACATCTGCAGATACGCATAGGTATAAGGGTAGCTATACTTACCATTCTCTCTCTGATAAAGGATGAGCTCTCCAGAGACGCAGAGTGATTGGACAGGCTGGAACTATCCCAAATAAATAAATAATCAATCCCTAACCACAGATTAGCGATCCAGTGAGCAAAATGCAAAGGGAAAAAGAAATGGGGAGGGAAGCGGAAACAAGGTGCTCTTTTTTGGAGGCAAAAGGTGCGGCCTCTGTCTTGTCTTTGGCCTGCAGCCTCATGGCAGAGCCCAGAGTGTGTTTCCCTTTATCTCTGTGGTCCCAGAACTACATGCAAATAAAAGCATGGATTCACATTACATCATGATTTGAATTGTATAATTATCCTTTAATTTAGCGCAAGGTTTAGCCTGATTTGATTACACTGCTTTTAATTACAATGTTTCCTGCAAACAGCCGGAGACCTGCAGTTTCTTGGAGTCTGTTATGTCTTCTAAGGAGTCCATTGTGTCTGGAAATTTGTTTCTAGCTTGAACTTCAATGTGATGGCAGTTTTGAAATCTGGTTTTGCTGCTGCTTCTTTTTTTATTTCATGCCCGGAACACAGTTCCTCAAGTCATAGCTAAGAACTGGCTGGCTTTATGCCCGCTTCATTCAGTGTGGCTTTCCTACATAAGGCTTCTCTCAAGCCACATTACAAGAGTGCAAATTTTGCTCTAATTTCATACTGTCCTGGTGGTATGGATTGGGCCAACAAAAGACCTTACCTGCAAGACAGCAAGCTGTTCCAGGTAGAGAGAGAGCCCTTACCACTTCAACACCTCCATATTAATCCTATATATTCGTATGCAGAATTTTAGCAAAGATGACAGGTTCCTCATTATTATAGCTAGTCGTTTTATGCCTAACGGGAAGATCCCAATTTAGTGTCTCTCTTATTTTGGAACTAGTTCCACAATGACAAGATGATTAGACCTTATTTCATAGAATCATAGAACAGTAGAGTTGGAAGGGGCCATGAAGGCCATTGAGTCCAACCCCCTGCTGTTGCAGGACACCAATTTACAGCATCCCACTCAGATGGCTGCCCAGTTTCTTCTTTAATGTCTCTAGTGTTGGAGAGCCCTCCACCTCTCCAGGCAGCTGGTTCCACTGTCATGTTGCTCTGAAAGTGAGGAAGCTTTTCCTGCTATCCATTCTGAATATGAGTTGTCAGAACTTGAATTAATTATTTCATGTCCTACACTCTGGCATCAGCAAGAATAGGTATTTTTCTTTTTCAGTTCTGTTGAGCCACTTATTCCCCCTCTTGTGTTGATGCATTTGGTTTCTTTTTCCTAGGTAGAGGACTTAGCACTTGTCCTTACTGACTCTCATTCTGTTGCTTTGGGCCCAGTGTTCAAGTTTATCAAGATTTTTGATATTTTAAAAAATATTTAATAAATATTTATTTAAAAAATAAACATTGATTTTATTTTGCCAATCTGCAACCATTCTGTGTCATTTGGGATATGGGCAGGATCCCTGGTTATCCAGCCTGGTTCATTACTCAGAAGGATCACTGCCTGAACAGGGTTCCTGATTTAGGGATACAATCTGACCCTCAGGGCTCAGTCTTAAACTCTTAATGTTTACCCATCATAGAAATCTCACACTGTGAAGCAAGCATGCAGGGGAATTCAGTGGATGTTCCTCCCGTCTTTCCTCTTTCTCTTCACCAGACTGGCATTGTGTACATAAACCGCCCACTGGATAGGGAGCGGGTGTCAGAATACCGGCTGACAGTGACGGTGAAGGACAACCCAGAAAATGCACGCAATGCAAGACGGGTAATTATGCACAGCATCGTTTTCCTAATTTAGCACTGCAATGAATGTATTAAAAGCATTTCATGTAATAGTGCTCTCACAAACAAATGAAGGTGCATGACTTAAGCCCAAACTTCTCTCTGTGTCACAGGAGCCAAGCCAAGGATATTTAAGGCCAAATACAGAATGTTTATAATAGTTTTATAGCCCTTCATTCACATTTTCCTGTTCATTATAGGTCCTTCATTTATCCCACAGTTTACCTCAGTCTAGCTCACTCAATTATCCTGTGAATTTTCCTTGTAACTTTTGGATTCATTCTACATGAGTTAGCAGGAAAAAACCTGCTATTAGCAATACAGATAGGTCTAAAAACACAATAAAATGGAATCTTTCTGAGACCATTGTTTTGATAATAATACTGAGTTAACACTGAGGTGGTCTGAACTCAACTTGTGACGATGCAGTGGATGGAATCATTGTCTCCAAAAAATATCTGAAGAAGCTCTGTTATACTATTCCATGTCTGTGCAGGCTCCCTGTTTTCTTTCAGTGCTGGATTAATTTATAAAACCCCCAAATGCTTAAACCTATTATGTGTCTCACTGCATTCTCTGATTTCCACCAAAAGCATCATCCTAACAATACGAGGAGTCTTCAAAAAGTTTCTGCACGTTTGTAAGCTATTTATTAAGAATTTCAAAAACAAATTGCATCACTTTTCTACATAGTCAGCTTCCTCTGTGATGCATTTTCCCAGCATTGTACCAACTTTTTAATGTCATCAGCAAAAAATACATATGTATAAAACGTAAAAGTGCAGAAACTTTTTGAAGACCCCTTGTATTATATGGCCCTTCTTGCACATTATAATAACCTTAACTCTTTTAAATTTGGGGTCATTTGGAATGCGGTAACGCACTGCCATATGTTGCCCAATTGCTTCCACAACCAGGTGAGTGGCTGAAACAAAGTATCTGTGTTTTGTTTAATGTTACGTGTGATTTATGAACTCTGGAAAGTATGTAGTTTATTTAGCTGCTCCCACAGGTAGTGGGAGTGATTGGCCAGCATGCATAAGCACATAACCTCATTTAAAATAACCCACAATTTAAAAAATCATGGCTTATCGTGACATGCGAATCAATTGATACCTATGAGGGTCAAACAGCAGCATTAGCATAGAGACGCACACATCTTAACGCCTGTTCAGAAGTGTTGCATGACCTAGAAGTTGGAATGCTTCTGGGGCTCAAGGTTAAACCAGTGTAGCACAAGGAAGCTCCTGTTATCCACACCAAACTTTCTAGATTGGGTGAGTTGTATATCTAAGCCAAAAGGAAACACCAGAGGAGATCAGTGGGTGTTCAGCCATGATGCTCGTGAGAAGAAGCTCCTGAAAGTGGCAACGCGGGTTCTTTTTTACTCGTTTTTGCCATTTCCCTTTGTGTTTACACACATTCAGGATTTCGACTTGCTGGTGATTTCAGTAGTGGATGAAAATGATAACCGCCCCCTCTTTACTCAGAGTTCCTACCATGCTGAAGTGATGGAGAACTCCCTGCCAGGTGGGTGTTTTGCCAAAGTATTGGAATCTCAGTGGTTGCAGAAGGTTTCTTTGCCCAACCCAGCAATCCTGTTGTTAATGGAAACATCTTTTTCTTTTTCCTTAAAAAAAAAAAAAAAAGGCTCCCTTAAAACTAGTATAACAAACACAGGGAAAAGGAAGCCTGTCTTATGTTGTTCTGGTTTAGGGCCCTTCCTCAGCTTCTGAAAGTAGTTATCTTTTACCCACTGCAATGCCACTTGGCCAGCACTAGTCTCTCTATTAACCGCACAGAGATATTTTAAAATATGGTTTGTAACAATAACCAATAGTTCCCTTCTCAATCGCTTTCTCAGCAAGAAAAGAACTGTTTCAGATGCAGAGCTGAGAGAAGGGAAATGGGAAAAAACCCTCTGATATTATTGGAGATGAGCAAACCAGCCTTGGCCTAGAAGGAAAAGCAGAAGATGTCTTTAATAAAATTGATGAGCCATGTTAAAAATGGATTTGTCTGGAATATGTCCAGATTTTTTTTAGCAGTTAAATGTTTTCAAATACTTCCTCTATTGTTTAATGCAACTACTTAGTTTTCTGTGACTGCTGCAATGCCCAAAGTTCTCTTCTGATTTAAAACTGCAGAATAACTTTATTGATTTTATGTATGCAACAGTTCGGTCTTTTTTGAAAACAATTGTATACTTCTAATTCCTTTGTTTTAATAATGAAAGTGATGATGATGATGATGATGATGATGATGTGATAGTGTGTGTTCCCTTTTGCTGAGACCAAACAGGTGTATATATCAGAATTCAGGTTGTTTTCTCCACTCCCTTAAGATAGCAGGCAGTATCCAAAAGAACAAGGTACCCTGTCAGTTCTATTACGCTCTACTTATTCATTTCTTCAAGTGCTCTTTGCCATCAGTGGAAACGCAGTAGAAATGTAACACTTCATAAAGAGAGTTCTAGAACAAAAAGAAATACATTTCTGGATTGGGACAGGTCAGCACAAGCTCTGCTAATTTACCATGTTCTAAAAATGAGTGTTTCTCTTGTTTTCAATGGCTTTCAGAAGCACTAAATCTCCATTGCATGAACACATGTGGAATGGAATCAGCAGAACTGGTACAAATGCAGCTTCCTTTTGCATAAAGTCTACTGAATGCATTCCTATTTTTACTTTTTTATCTTGTTTGGAGGAAGGTTGGGAGCATGCGTTCTCCCTCTTCTTACAAACTCAGCTTAATAGAATACTTACTGATTTGATCAGACTACAGTTTTCCAATACTTCTACACTGAACAAGGGTTGCAAATCTTGATTTGTGATTTTGATGTGAAAGGATTTCTGAAACTTATTTGGTGGTTTGGGCGAAACAGGCATGGTTTGATGAAACCAGGTAATATTCTGCTAAATCAAGAAAGGTAGAGGAGGAATATACAAACAAATGTTTTATTCCCAAACCTAGTCCAAACCATGGTTTGGAAATGAAGTCTGAATACCTCCACTGAGTGATTGGACATTTATGTGCCCCGCCCCCAGTGGAAAATCACATATGACCATGGCTGGAACTCCAAGTACTTTTTGCTTAATTCCGAAATATTTATATTTCAGTAAGCCACAGTGTCCTTGTGTGCCACACTCCCTCATCCTGTGGATATTCAGGAACCAGCTAAGGAGGGGAAATTCCCAGGAATCGGCCTTGCATTTCAATATGCCTGATGAAAGTGTGTGTTTTGTTTTAGCAGGGCTGTAAGTCTTCTCCCAGGGGGCACCTTGATTCAGTCTGCCAAGGTTCTGCCAGTCACTCCTCTATTATCTCATGCCTCACGGGACTCCACCCTGTTTCACCCATCCATTTTTCATTGTTAACCATTCTGTCATTGGAGCGGGGAGGGAGGGAGGAACAAGAGAAACTAGCCTATTGATATTTTCCCTGTTATTGAGCTCTCCATGTTCGATTCAGGAACTCACGTCACAGTCCTTAATGGGCCAATTCTAGCTTTGGACAATGACCAGGGTATCAATGCAGTGGTGACATACCAGCTCCTCGGGACAGCAACAGACCTCTTCATCATTGATAACAGAACAGGTAAGAAAGCCATGCACCTTTAGTTAGCAGGCAGCTTTAGTTAGTAGGTGTAACACCCCAGTCAGGCCAAGAGGCACTGGGACCAATGGAAAAGCAGGCTGAAAGCTGCTTTCAGGAGAAACTGTTTAAAGAAAGGTTGGTTGAAAAACAGTTGGAGAAAAGGGGCTACTGAAGAAGAAGAGGAAGAAGTAAACAGTGAAAAGGAAGTAGCAGCCAGAAACAGCAGGTTGCAAACTTTGGAAACGGGCAATTCCACCGGACCAACAGATAGCTTGGGATAAGCCAGTGCGTCCTGCCACGAAGAACTGGATGGACTGAAGGGCAGTACCTGCTCTTTGTGGCTGAACAGAAGAACTTTTCCATCTCAGCCAGAGGATGATTGGGAGGTGACCCAGAGAGTAACTCTTTGTGACTTTGTGGAACAGACACATTAATAGCTAGTTGTGTTACTAGTTGGAGAAGCTTTATAGGTAAAGAAAATGCATTATAATCATTATACATTTAATTTCTTGTGTCTAATAAAAATAACTTTGGACATGGTAGCAACAACCACTCCTACCTTTTTCTTATCCTGAAGGAACCAGCACTTCTGGGCACGACACTAAGTTAAGATGGTCTCTGGAAATGGCAGAATTGCTATGGAGAGTCTCTTAGCTTATTTTTTATTCATTTTTAAAACTTTGACTCTGAGTATAAGGAGTATAAAATCTTATGTCAGGGAGCTTTGTGTCTGTAGCAAGAAATGCCAGCTACACTGGAATATGGCTCCTTTTTACACAGCATAAAATTAATGCGGCCCATATCACATTGACATGGAGTTCATATCGATGCCCTGAAGTCCCACGTCACTGTGCCTGTTGCCAAATTGTATCATTTTGTAACATGGCAGGGATGAGGTACAGTGGAGAGGAGAGATGGAATGCAAAAAACTAGGAAGAAGGCTAACCAAATCCTTCTCCTGACATGATAATTTTCATGTGGGGAGATTTTTCTGGGGGAGAACATCCCATATCTGTGACTTGATTGTACCTAACGTCAGAGGGCTGAAAAGGCTAACAAAAACCCATTCATGGGTTCTGCACACTTCCCACTTGCTGGAAGCTTCTCCCCATTGTGTCTAACCCCGGGTGCTTAAAAGATGGAGGATCCAGCCTGTAGAACACAAACCTGGATTAAATCCGCACATGTTAATTCTTCTCTTTACATACAAATCTGGTAACAAGGGGATTTATTTATTTATTTATTTTCAGGAGGCAGTCTAGACAATTTCTCATCTAAATACTCCCAAATATAATTCATTGTTCAAATTAATCTGCACCCTGCTCCCGATCATCCCAAACCAATGGAATATTTTTTCTGAGTTGCCATGCAGGACAAGATTGGTGGGGAGGAGGAGAATGTGGAGAAAGGAGACTTAACCATTCCTTTCGCAGCTGGAAAATTGCCATTTACATGGCAACTGAGTTGAGGGGGGAAACCTCCACTAGCACCAATAGACATGCAGAGCTCTGTGGAATATATCCAAGAAAAGGTTCCCATAGGTCCAGCCCTAGCAACAGGTCCGACAGTGCCTACTTGAGCTGGGCAGAATGTCTTGGCAAAGTGATTTGTCTGAAACATAAAAATGTAATTCACCCACATGTGATCGCAAGTGCAGTGTATAGAATCCATTTATCTTCATATGTATGAGGTATATGCATCACACTAAGACAAAAATGTGCAACTAAGATGGCATTCCCCAAGTAAGGCGTTCCCCAGCCATCTTTTCCCTTTAGTTGCAACCTTTGTTGCCAACATATAATTTTGAGGGGTTGCTAACATTGATTGCCAGCACAGAGTTTTGGCAAGGTACAGTTTATACTTGGTGGCGTGCTTGGTAGACCTTGGGAAGCCTTTGACCATATTTGACTATAGTCAACTTGTCTCTTCTGACGGATTCTTATTAATAACCCCCAGGTGACATTCTGGTGAAGCCGGGGCAGGAGATAGATAGAGAAGCCTTCTTGAATCCGGTCTTGGAGTTTCTGCTGGTTGCAATCGATGTTGGCAAGTTGAACAGCACTGCCAGCCTCACCGTGGCCATTCTCGATGACAATGACAACAGACCAGTCTTTCACCCTGCAGTGCTGACTGAGCGACTGCTGGAAAACAGCTCTCCAGGTCAGAGTGAAGGCAAATTGCAAAGAGGCTTTTGGGGCTGAGATGAGGACAGGTCCCAGGAATCTACAAGAGGAAAGCAAGGAACCAAAACAATTGAAAATATTAAGTGCAGGAAAGGAGGACGCAATCAAAGGCAGCAAGAGGCCCATTTACCATATTTCAAGTCACTCTTTTTTTTACCACACTGAAAAACACATTTTCTGAAAATACGCTATTGAAGCAACCTTCAGTTCCCAACAGTAACATGTTTGCCTTAGAAAAATAATTTATTTGGAAAAAATGAAGGATCTGATTAATTGCCGAAATCTGAAATGAAGCATAGCTTGGTTCAGAAATGCAATTTCCATCTTACTAAACAATAGTCCAGCTGACATGAATGAATACTGGGACTAACTACTTCTCTTGCCTCCTCTTGTCTTCAGTGCGCCGATCTAAGTTAGCTTAAATTGCAGTTTGCTATTATGTCCAGAACAGGGAAGTGTGACTACTAACCAGAATAGATTCTGGTTAGTAAACTGACATTTGGACACAATATGGAACAGTAATTTAAGCTAACCAGGTTTGGAGCACCAAGCTAGAGGGGGCAAAAATTAGGGGAATTTGTTCCTGGCTGTTAAACTATGGTTTCACAGTCAGGAAATGTATATCTAAATCCGATTAATACCCTTAACAAAAAGAAGTCTCCAAATGAGCTTGCTAATTCCATGTTTTCATTGTTGCTGAACTCAGTTGTTGTTGCTGCTGTTTCATTTGATGCTGGGCTGTATTTTTTACAAAAAGGTCGGATGTTGAGTCTGTGCAGACTTCCCATTGGCCTTCATACTGCCAGGAGAATTTTAAAAACTTCTGTACATGGATTGCCTAGAAATTTCACTAGCAAGCACGGATTGTTTTTCTCATTCTGTCTCTTCTGGCAAATAAAGAAGAGCTAATGATCTCATGAATATATGCTTAATTGGCAATCACTACTTCAGCTTTCCCATCAATGCTTTTAAAAAGTGTCCGTCACACTTTCAATCCTGTATCCGCCAACTCAGCAGTAAGTCCTAGGGAAGCCAATGGAGCTTATTCTCAAAGAAGTGCTTGTAGGAGTGCAATATTTATGTGTCCGTGGAAGTGCCTTCATCACATACAGGCCATACATACCACCTTTCATTGGTTCTTCATGACCCCTCATGTAGTCCCACAGTAATCTAATAGGATTCACTTAGCTCCATTGGCCTTATGCTCTCCATATATATATACACACATGGTGGGAAAGAGAAATGTCTTGTTGTAGTATCATCAGTGCACAGCTATATTAATGATAATGGTTTCACAGGCTTCTTTGCAGTAAGCCCCAGCATACTCCAGGAGAGAATGCTGAGATGTCTGTTGGATTAATTCAAAATGGCAGCTCTTTTGCTTGAAAAAGCCCTCTAATGTCACAGTTTCTCCCTAGGTTTTTCTGTCCTTCAGGTGACGGCGACTGATGCAGACAGTGGCCTCAACCAGCAGCTGAGCTATCGTATTGAAAGTGGAGCTCAAGATAGGTTTTTGATTAACGTTAATACGGGGGTGATCAGTGTGGCCAACATCACCATAGACCGAGAAGAAAAGGACAACTACCGGCTGATCGTGGTTGCGGTAGACCGAGGCACACCGCCCCTCTCTGGCACAGCCACTGTGAGCATCCTTGTAGAAGACATCAATGACTCTCAGCCAGAGTTTGTCAACCCAGTCCAGACAGTCAGCGTGCCAGAATCAGCCAGCATAGGCACAGTGGTCGCTGAGGTGACAGCTGTAGACAGAGACCTCAGTCCCCAGCTGGAGTACTACATCATTGAAATCCTGGCCAAAGATGACACAGACGCGCTTGTGCCAAACCAACAGGGAACTTTTGCAGTGGATTTTAGAACAGGTACAAGGATGGAGGGGGAATAAAGGTTCGAAGTGGCCAAAGTCCTTAGGTTATCAACATGTACTGCTCCTAAAGCAAAGGGTCAAAACAGTAGAAAGCAGGAAAACAAGTGTTCTATTTCATTTTAACTATCAAAAATATTACTGGACCAAAGTAGCACTTCAGTTATTCAGTGTGCTCTGTTCGGCTGCCAGTCTGTTGGAGCCAGAAAAATCAGCATTTGTTGTTGAGGATCCATTTGCACTTAAGAGACTGGAAATGTTAACAGTGTCAGATATTATGAGGAAGATGCTTTCTTATCTTTGCTACTTTCTTTCTCACGTCTGTTCCTCTTTTCACGTTTATCTCTTTCTCTTGCTTTCTTCACCATTGCCCTTTCTTCCTCTCCTTGACTTTCTCTTTGTGCACATTTGCTGGGTCCTTCTCTAACTGACTGATCTTTTTTCCTTATGGCTCTCAGACCTGCAGGTTTGGTTTCTGTGTTTCTCTGTGCGTGTTCAATGTCTCCTTTCCATCTCAGTCAGCACCTTCTCCATCCTCATCACCCCTGGCTTAGTGCTGGCTTGTGTCTTGCTGGCAGGCAGCTGCTGAAACGCATAGCTTCCATGCATGGTGCTCTAGCCTTCACAGACTGAACCTTGAGAGCTCCTCAGAAACATCAGGCTGCTAGGGAGTGGGAGGGCAAGCATTTTTAGGGTAAGTGACCATTTGTCCTGTGTTCTGGTATGTAGGGGAGGGCGGCAAGGCCATGTCCTGAGTGCAACGTAATCCAAGATGACATCAGTGTGGTCATTTGTGATCCTAAAGCATTCAGGATGCAGCTGGACAGCCACCTGAGAGGGATGGTTTAACTGGGAATCCTGCACTGAGCAGGGGCTTGGACCCTCTGGCCCCTTCCAACTCTACTGTTCTATGATTCTGTGAAGTAGTTTTGTCAGTTGCCCAGTGAAATTGAGTTGAGTAGAGATTAGGACAGGCCAAGCCCGGCATTTTATCTACTGACTATGTAGCCTGAGTAAGTTTGTATAAATTTACAGTGCTTGAACAACAGGTTTGCTCACTTCATAGTGTACATGTTACTGGGTCTTGAAAGTTTTGTCGCAAGAGACAGACTAAAATTGCAATCTTATTACTTAGTTCCACTGTTTTCAGTTAGACTTGCTCTGTAGTAACTGTGTTAGGATTGCATCTAGGTAGAGCAATCCTTTGACCGCTAGATAGTGTCTAGGCTGCCATGGGATTCTGTGGATCACCTCTTTTAATGCCAATAGATAGATCTATGAGCACAGAGGAGGAGAATTGATCATGGATCTTCTCTTCCCACATCTCACTTTCACCAGCTGTTAATGAAAGCTCCATGGTGGCTTTCTGAGGTTGCAACACTGACCTTGGAAGGGGCTGGAGCAGGTGGAAAGGTGGCTGATGTGCAGGGAGTGGAGAGGATGGGAGAAGGCTGGACCTCTTCAGTCCAAGGGCCTCCCCACCACTCATCCCACACGCTAAGAAGTAAGTTACAGGTAGGTAGGCCTTTTGGTCTCTCTAACTGTAAATGTTCTTTGAGGTAGAATGGGAGGTGTTTTCACCTCCATTGTTCCACCTGCCCTGTGTGGCTCTTGCTGGCAGGATTTTTGGATGGGCAGGGAGCTCCAGTCTCAGAGCTTTCTACCCAAAGATTAGAATCATACAGAATTAAACTCTGAATCAGATAATTTGGAAATGATGTCCTTAGCTAGTAGACCTTACTACCATTTCTCAGTAGTTTCTGTACTTCCATATAGAAGTATATCTTCCGTATAGCCTGAAGTGCCCAATCCTGCCTAATCTTGGAAGCTAAGCAGGATTGAGCCTGGTTGAAATCTGGATGGGTGACTTAAATGTTGTGAACTGTCCAGGCAGCTTTGGCTATGGGAGGTATAGAAATATAATGGTGGTGGTGGTGGTGGTGGTGGTGGTGATGGTACAGAGATGAATGCATATTCTAGCCAAGCATCTGAACCTATTCAGCTTAGAATCAGTCATGCTTCCCACAAAAGATCCAAAGTGTCAGTATGCAGGTATACCGAAGAAATAGAAACACTGACCTTAATAGATCTTTTTGTGAAATACAAAGCAACATTTTAAAAGGTGAAACTTTATGCAATGTCAGTCAGGAAAAGGCTTGTAGGTTCTACTTTACATTGTACTAGAACCCCAATGTCTACCAACTCCAGTACAAAACAGTAGCTCAGGTAGGAGAACCAGTTGTACCAACTGGACTGACCTACAAGTACAAATGCAAATCTTTATCTAAATGACTACAGAACAGAAATTCTAACTGTTTAATTTAGACTTAACAATACTATGAGAATTTCAAATAGCTTTGCTGATCTACTATAGATCACCCAGAGGTCTACCAATAGATTCTGACCTACTTGTGGCTCACCCTTGAGGTGGGGTACAAAATCAGGATGTATTGAATCAAAGTGAATGATTTATGATGGAATGAATTTATAAAGGATGGGCTGGCTGGCAAACACATAGGGAACAATTCTATGCAAGTTTAAACAGAGCAAAGGCCGACAACTCCCAGCATGCCCCAGACAGCTATGTGGATTGGGCCATGCTGGGAGTTTTAGGCCTTTTTTCTGTATAAACTTGCATAGGCTTCTGCTTTTAGGAAAAAATTCCTGAAGAGAAGAATCAAGGAAGATGAGTCAATGTACTTCCTCAGCCTAGAAAGGCTGCTTCCTACATATTCTGATGGTGCTACGTAACTTGAAGTTTCTCCCCTTCCTTTTCTATTTTCAGGTGCTGTGAAAGTGAAGTCCACTCTAAACAGAGAAATGGTGGCCACCTATGAAGTCACAATCTCTGTCTATGATAATGCCAGTGATGTGGTGGACCGCTCAGTCAGTGTGCCAAATGGTAAGGTAATTCTTCATTCAGATTACATTAACTGGATTGCACTGTTGGATCACTGCGGTGTGATCCAAGAGGTGCCAGAATGCCCTAGTAGTCAAATTCCTCGTACCAACTGTTCCTGTCCTTCCCTTTCTTTCCCCTGTCCTCTGTCCCTCACAGCAAAGCTGACCGTAAATGTGTTGGATGTCAATGATAATACGCCTCGGTTCCGTCCCTTCGGGGCCACATTTGTCACAGAGAGGATCCTAGAAGGCGCCACTCCAGGGACCACCTTGATATCCATGTCAGCGGTAGATCCAGACAAAGGAGCAAACGGGCAGATCACTTATGAGCTACTCAACCTCTCACCTGAGGGATATGTCCAGCTTGAAGACATTTCAGCAGGTATGTGGAGCAACGGGAAGGCTTCCCTGTTCTTACCTGTAAATTGATACAGCTGAAAGAAATAAGCTTTTTGTGCTCCTAGACAACCAGTGAGAAAGGATTATATATGGAAAGATCAATCCATTGCCCTCTGGGTTCCCAATAGCAGCTAATTCTCTTCTTGTGCATGCAGCCAGCATCACTGATAAAAATCCATAGTACAAGGAGGGTTTCAGGCCAAAGTATTACCACAACTCCTCTATGGAAATCTCTTAGGTCCAATAACCTCTAGTTTTGCCCCATTAGAAAAAGTTAAGTCAAAATTTATAAGGGCAATTTTTGTATGCCCTGCTGTGTTTCTAATGCTGGTATGTGCCTAGAATCTGGACTGATTAAAACAGAGGCTAGGGCAGTGGTGGCAAACCTATGGCCCACGTGCCACAGTGGGCATGCACAGCCCTCTCTTTCGGCATGTGAGCCAAGTCGCCCCAGCATCGCCCCAGCAGCCGAGCATCGGATAACAGCGCACATAGGGGCCATGCGCATGCTCAGAAAGGAGCAGCGGCGCCAGGCGATGACGTCTCAAGCTGCAACTCATTCGACAAGACTCATCTGAGCTTGCACATGGCCAGTCAGTGCACTTTCAAGGATGTATTTGTATTTGCTTAGACTGACTATCAGTTGTTTTTTCTAAAACAAAAACCTCAGTTTTCAGGTTTTATTACACTGTTGGCACGTTGTGATAAGTAAGTCGGTTTTGGGATGCAGTTTCGGTACTCGGTCTCTAAAAGGTTCACCATCACTGGGTTGGGGTTAGAAAAGCAGCAAAGGCTACTCAGCTTTCACAAAATCTCCCTTTTTTCAGTGATATTTTCCCCCTATATTAGGGTTAGCAGAGTGCTCCAGGGTAGGGTTAAGGTTAGGAAAACGTGGTGTCCTGGCATGGTTTTGATGGTTGGAATGTGTTTAGAATGGCCAGATATGTTGAGCTTTGCACAAAAAAGCTACTCAAGGATTGCTTTTTTGAAATCGCCCTCTTTTCAGTGGAAGTTTCGCCCTATATTAGGGTTAAATTTCGCCCTCAGTTTTCAGGCTTTACTGTAGTGTTGGCACTTTGTGATAAATAAGTGAGTTTTGGGTTGCAGTTTGGGCTCTCGGTTTCTCAAAGGTACGCCATCACTGGGTAAGCCTCTCCTCTATTAGGTTCTGGCGCCGGGTAAACTATTGTCCCCAAGGACTCACTTCTTTAATCCTTCAGGACTGTGCTCAATTGTCCTGGCTATCTGCAGTGCTCCCTAAAACTCGCTGCATTAAGACTCTCCCCACGGACTCTTTTAGTGATGGGAGTAGATCGGGCAAAGCAGTTACTGAACAGTGTGTTAGATACTGAGCGGCAATGTGACATCGGGAGAGTACCAGATTTTCTGGCACCAGAGATCATTGCTTCCACAGCATCCTATGTGTCACTCTTGGAGTTTCCCACTCTTCAGAGGGCCTTCTCTCCAGCAAGATGGCAAGTACTCCCCGTGCAGAAGGGGAAATATTATACGACACCATTGGCATAGAGGGTTTACCCTTGTGGTGCCAGAGAGTTTGAAACAATGGAACACGTTAGTTTTTACTGCCAGTTTTATCTAGAAATATGGGCCAAGTTTATTTCCCATCTGTTTAGAAGGTGACCAGGAAAATCTGATCCTGAGGTTGCCAGAAAGCTTCTTATAGGCACCAATGCCCAGTTTACAGTTTGCTGTGATAGGTTTTTCACAGCTGCCTGCAAGATCCACAAAGATATTTTATGCAATGTTTTGATTTTTTAATTAGAAATTGTAACAGGCAATTTTAATCAGTTTGCTAGCATTTACTGTGTTTACTGTTATTTTGCCTTTTAATAGTTGGAATATTTTAACTTATAGTCTTACTTTCTTAATTGTTATTTAAGGAAAATCTGGTCACTGACTGTAATAAACTGTTGTAGTAGGAGTAGTACAACAAGGAAAGAAATGTACTCAGGCTGGAGGGTGAAGAGTTCTGAGTATCAAAGCTCCATCCTCTGGTCCATTCAAGTCTACTTTTTGCTCTAACCCAACTGTATTTTCCTTCCATTCCAAAACAGTGGATTCTTACGGAGACTTTCCTGCCTTACTCAGGCCATTAGGGCTGAGCTAGTTAGCATGGCGGTGGATATAAACAAACAGGCAGACAAACCCAGAGTTGTCTGCTGTCCCCAAATTGGATCAACAACTCTACACCATTCATTGTCTTCCTAATAAATGGGAGCTGTTATAATTAGTGTTTTACACTAATTGGTGTTTTATAATGGTGCTTTACAGAAGCCAGAAGCCAAGCCCCTGTCCTGGTGAGATTACAAACCCATTTTCAGCTTTTAGACCTAGCAATTAGCTTTGTTTCTTGTGAGACAGAGAGTACAAAGACTTGACGTGTGCTTTTTGCTTGTAATGCAGGAATGTTTATTGAAAGCATCGCTTTCATCCAGCCAAATAGAGGTGTTCTTCAACTGGCATCTTAATGTCATTTGTCCCAGTCTTTGTTAGCATTAAATAATCAGCAGATTAATTTCTAAGTTTCTTTTTGGTAATGGCCCCAAATATTGCTTTGAAATTAGTCAAAAGAGCTGTCTGGTTTTGCCAGCATTAGGTACAATGTCCTTTTATTTATTATTTATTTAAAACATTTCTATGCCGCCCCCATCGCAACAAAGCCTCAGGGCAGCTCACAAAAAATACAAAAAAAATAAAACATTTAAACCCCCCCCCGGTGCATTCTTGGCAAATTTAAAATCCTAATAAATACTAATTTAGCAATTAAAATAAGTTTTAAATAAAAAGGTCTTAGCCTGGCGCCGAAAAACAAATAATGACGGCGCCAGGCGGACCTCTCTGGGGAGCGCATTCCATAGATGGGGCGCCACCACAGAGAAAGCCCTCCTCCAGGCACTCACCCTCCTAATATCATTCACAGAGGGTTCCCGGAGAAGGGCATCCGTTGCTGATCTCAAGGGGCGGGAGGACATATGGGCGCAAGAGTTCCTTTAGATATCCAGGTCCCAAGCCGTTTAGGGCTTTATAGGTCATAACCAACACCTTGAATTGGGCCCGGACTTCAATCAGGAGCCAGTGGAGCTGACAGAGAACTGGGGTTATATGAGAACAACACCCAGTCCCCGTCAGCAACCTGGCAGCTCTATTCTGCACCAATTGAAGTATCCGGACCGTCTTCAAGGGTAGCCCCACGTAGAGCGCGTTACAGAAATCTAATCGGGAAGTTACCAGCATGTGTGTCACTGTCGCCAGGCAGTCGTTCTCCAGGAAGGGACGCAGCTGATGTATCAGCCGAAGCTGAAGGAAGGCGCTCCTCGCCACCGCCGTCACCTGAGCTTCTAGAGACAGCTCAGGGTCGAGGAGCACTCCCAAGGTGCGAACCCTGTCCCTCAGAGGGAGTGCAGCCCCATTTAGGACAAGGCCCAAGTCCCCGAGGCCCGAGCCACCCAGCAACAGGACCTCCGTCTTGTCTGGATTGAGCTTCAGTTTATTGGCCCTCATCCAGCTTTTGTGTGCATTCAAAATGATTTACTGGAGGATGGCAGGAAAGTGGGGGAATAATTATCAGAAAGAACAGAGAAGATGGAAATCTTCCTGAGTCAAGTTATTCTTTTTTAGGAAAGGTCATTTCCAACAGGACAGTGGACTATGAAGAGGTGCAGTGGCTGAATTTTACTCTCCGGGCATCAGACAATGGGGCTCCCCGGAGATCAGCTGAGATTCCAGTGTACCTAGAAATTGTGGATATCAATGACAACAACCCAATTTTCAGCCAGCCGTCCTACCAGGTAAATTGAAACACCTTTGTGGAAAGGTGAAAAGTGGGAATAGGGACAGATTTGGAAGAGAGCGGACATGATGCTAAGCTACACCAGACCACACCATTTCTTCTACTGTTCAATACTCAAGTGTCTGAAACAATTTGTTGATTAGTATTTGTTTAGCTGTGGTTGGAGGTGTCACGAAGGGAACAACAATTGTCTGAAAACAAAGAGGACTGGAATCAGTCTACTGTTCTGATACATTCTGGAAGAAAACTGTTTCTATTCAGACAAAGTAATACTTACAAAATATGGGAAATGGGACACAGATTGATAGTGACTTATATTCTATCATAGAATAATTGAAACTCTCATATGAAAACTGGCTATGTGGTTCTTTTATAATAGTGTAAGTAGGGATGTGTAAGGAATCCATATGGAGCTGGGAATTCACTGGATTCCCTGGGGTTGGCTCCCTGGACTCCAGTCCACTTTGCAGCAGTTCAGGAGTTCCTGAAGGGCTCGCCCAGGTCTCGCAAAGTGCTCATCAGGAACTGAGTCTCATGCGCTGCTCAGTCAGTGCCAGAGCAGCAACCATTTGAGGACTGCAACTGACACCCAACTGGGCAGGTTGCAAGGGGCTCACCAGGAAAGCAGCTCCCAACAACTGCCAGCGGCACCCATCTCTTGCACCAGGAGCAGCTGGTGTTTGAGTGACTGCAGCTGATGCCGAAGAAGGCTGGTCACAGCGAGCTTGCCAGGAACGCAAACCCGCATGTCCGTTGTGCAGGCAGTGTGTCCTTCCACACCAGACATGGAAGAAGGTTGCCAGATTGCACAAGCATGCATGGACTTCCTGTCAGCTCAGTTTACTTTGGACAACCAGGCTGAGCACAAGAGAAGACCACGGCTGCTTGGAGGGACGGATTCCAATAGGATTATTCCCAACCCTACATGCAAGCACAGAAGAACCATCTCGTTGGATCATACCAACTATTCATCTATCCTGGAATCTACCTTTGCACAGGAAATGTCTCCAGGAACCTAACCAATAGAACATGACAGTGATGCCTAGTTCCTGTTGCCTTCCTCCTCCATCTTGCACTCAAAATCATAGTGCCTCTGAACATTCTGTTTCACTTGAGCAGCTGAGTCATTGGTGGGCCTGTCTCAGGATAAGAAGATCAGGCTGGACTCCAGCTCTCTTGCTCTCACCAGACTTCTTTCCCATGCTTGGCCCTGGCCAGGAAGTAAGCCGAGCTAAGATCAAGTCTGCGAATGCTTGGGAACATTAGCAGCTTCTTTGCACAGTGAGTTACGTGTGCAGAAGCAAAACTCCACTTGCCGAGCAGGCACAGGGGTGGTATGTGTACAAACCAGCTTCACAGACTCGCCTGGACTCGCTTTCTGCCAGAGGCTCACAGAAACACTCAGTACTAGGCCTGTCTGCCAAAAGTCTTCCCAACCCTTTTTAGAGCAATTTAGCCATTCAACCACCTCATGGTAATACATTCTAGAAGCGGTCCTAAACGTTGCATGAATTGTAGATCAGGACAGATGATGAATATATATTCCATCCGTGAATATATTATGTGATGAATTGGCACCATAACTGACTGTACAAATGAGATCTGACACCTCTTGAAAAGGATATTGCTGATCTGTTTCTGATGTTAATTATTTCCTCCTGTGTTTCCAGAAACCTGTCTTTGAGGATGTCCCATTAGGCACAGTCATCCTGAGGGTCCGAGCCACAGATGCTGATTCTGGACGCTTTGCTCAAATCCGTTACAGCTTGGGAGATGGAGAGGGCAAGTTTGGGATCAACCCCAACACGGTAACAAGCTAAGTCAACATTCAGGCCTTGGGTTTGTCCAGTTTCTGCCAAATGTTATCTTTATCATACTTGTATGATGCATCTGTTCAGATACATGTATGAAAGCTGTATGATATTTGACACCCAACAACTGTCAGACCACGCCAGAGCCACTCTCTCATTTGCTTAGGAGATGCTGACCATCTCCTGAGTGGGTGGGGAACAGGGAGAAGTGCATCTATAAAGAGACAGACATTAAATTAGTGATGACGATGATGAACTGCCAGGTGATGGGTGGCAGAGTGGGACTGGGATCTTGGTGAACTCTATAAACTCTACTCTGATTTCTTGCCCAAAGCGCTTGTATTCCCAGGATAAATTAACACATTTAGTAACTAAAAATAGTGAGCTAGAAGACCCTTGTTCAAGTCTCACCTTAATTTACTAGGTGACATTAGACCAACCACTATTTTCTTAGCTAAGGCCCCTTAATCTGCAAAATGGAGATCATAGAACAAACTGAACTCTCAAAAACAGTCAATGCTAAGTATCATTAAGAGACTATTCTAATGTAATGTTGATCATTCACAGCATAACTACTTGTGCATGAATGCACATGGCAGTGTTATATAAGGATGTCAGGTTTTTACATGCCGGAATGTCCTATCCTGCTCATGGTTATTCACTTCCCCCCACTGCCCTTCCTCCCATGTATATTACTTCACGGACACATGTTGATGGAAGGAAAAAATAAGGTATTTCTCACTGATAGAAAATGTTTATTACTCATTATTACCTTTCTATCCTGCCTTTGTTCCTCTTGCAAGAACCCCAGTGGAGTTTACATGATTCTCCTCTCCATTTTACCATCACAACAAACCCTTATAGTAGGCAAGCCTCAAGAGTCCCTGACGGGCACATTTATTTAGCATGCTTATGACCAAGTGAGGACTAAAATGTGACTCTTCCAACACCACACTAGTCTTCTCTTTAGTCAGAATCATCTCTCGGATACTCTGTTTTAACAGCTTGAAAGGATTGCCTTTTTCATTAACTGGATGCTGTCTATGAATTGAGGGGAACATCATTATTTGAAGGAGTCTGATACCTGATCAAGGATCATCTATGATATTGTGTATTTCAAGACTGTGCTGTACTTTGCCCAAATCCTTCCTTTTTTTCTTGCTCCTGCATCAGCAAGTGCCAAATCCAAGCTATAGTATCTTCAAAGGAAGAAAAGCCAATCCAGAAGTCAGGCCATAAAATCCGTCGTGCCGAGTGTCTGGATCAGGAAGGGAGGGCAAGAGAGTGGTCCAGGGGGATGGCCGAAGGACAAGGAATCTGTCCAGTCTGAAAGATCAAGGGAAGTGCTGGACTGAAATGCTGCTGTCTGGGAAAATTCATGGCTGGCTGTAAACCAGCACAGCTGACTAACTAGGTCAGCGTGTGGCTTTTAGGCGAGGCCCCATGGTGCGCCTTCTGTTTGGACTTCTGATGGTCATGCTTGATCCTCCTCCTTCCCAAGGGATGAATTCCCTCCAGCTCTGCCTCCTGCTCTCCGGGAAGCTGAGGAACAGCTGGGAGGCCTAGGCTACTCTTCCGATGGAAGGCTGTCAGCTGCAGCATCAACCTCACCATTTGCCTTTGGTTGGGGCCTCCTGCCTTTTCTGCTTCCGGGTAGAGCACGTCTTTGCCACCTGTCCTTGATAGGGGAAGCCCTGACTCCAACAGCAGGATTACAGTTTAGAGGATCTAGCACAGATGTACTCTTGGTGACTACAAAAGTCTTCCCTCGTAGGAAAAGAACCATTTGCTGACTGAAGCCATTCTGATGTCCAAACAGGAACTATAGAATGACCAGACTTGCCTTGTGTAGTTGGAAAGAGACACAATTGACTCCCAATGTACTTCATTTCACTTCTTCCACAGAGATGCCATATTGAATGCATCCAATAACTTTCTAAAGATCTTTGTATGTTCCAGGGAGATATCTACATTCTATCAACCCTGGACCGGGAAAAGAAAGATCATTATACACTGACAGCTGTAGCCAGGGACAATCCAGAGGACATTTCTAGTAACCGCCGAGAGAATTCTGTGCAGGTAACCAAAATGGAATATGGAAATTTTAATAACTGTTTCCAGTCACGCACAAGGTAGCCACCTCCTTCCAAAATGTCACTTGTTCTGCCTGTTTGCAGTCCTATCCATTATTTCCAATCGATGCGTCTAAGCAAGATGCAGTGTGAGTACAAGAAAAAAAAATAAGGGTGGAGTCTTGTGCATCTTTAGACAGGAAAAAATCCTCTGTACTGGGAACTGTGGGGATTTTGTGGTCTAAGCATACATAGCATTGTGGACTAAGTGGAATAAGGGAGCACTGACTGAAGTGTTAATTGCAGGTGCTTCAACATCCATGGTAGGAAAGGGCAAAATCATAGGCTTCAGCAGAGGAAAGGAAGTGGGCTGTGAATTCAAGAAGACAACAAGATATTTTGGGAAGCATTAGAGACCAAACTGGACAGCACTCCCTCACCCTACCTCATTTTTCAGGGTGTCTCAACAACATTGCCTTCCTCTTGTAGCCGCCCTGTATCTTTTCATTCCTTCTTCCACCTTTTCTTAGGACCAAATGGTGGTTAAAGAATAAAAATATAGCTGCGCAAAGCTTTTGACTGGTAGTATAGAAGCCCTCCATCTGAGAGCACCCTGAAACTAAGGACTTTTCTGCATGACAGGTTTAACCCACTGCTTTACTGAGGCTTTTTCTTCCATAGTTATTGTGAGATTAAAAATGTGTTCTTTACATGTTTTTTTTTACCCAGGGGTGTATTTCTGTGCCTTTCTATACATGTTATTACCCAGCCACAAGGAGGTGCTATGATATAGTTGCACCAGAGTGGATTTGCAACTCCTCTGGAGGTTTTTCTTCCAGTACGCTGAGGTTTAGAATTTAGTACCAAACTTTCCTTGCTTTTCAAACAACCACCAATACTGCTAGCACTACACCAAAAAAGCTGGAAAACACAGTGGAAGCTCTGGAGGATGATGGCATTGTGAAAAGGCCCTGAGAAGTTCTCTGAGGTCCATTTGTTTAATGTATGGGAGCATTACAAAGGCTGCTCCCTGTGCAGTTCCAGGAACATGAGAACACAGTAAGCAGGATCATGTATGTAGGGGAAGCACACAGGCCTCAGAAGCCGTACTGGAGAGGAGAGCACTGCCCACCCACCTGGTTTCAGGTTTCTTGCATGATTGGTAGATCCGTGAAGTTCAGCCTAGAGTCAGATCTATGAAGTGGTGGAAACCATGCCAGTCCTATTCCAAGGTCTCCCCTTGTGCAGGCGAAACGCACCTGCTCCAGTCAGAGGTTTGTGTCAGCTCATTGCCTGCACCAACGTTACTCAGATCCAGTGGCTCTGGAAATTCACCACAGGGCCGTCTCTGTCTACAGTTGCGTTTATGGCTTGTTTCGATCGCAGGTGTTGATCACAGTCTTGGATATCAATGACTGCCGGCCCCAGTTTGCCAAAAAACTGTACAGCACCAGCGTCTACGAAAATGAGCCCGCAGGGACTTCCGTGATCACAGTGACTGCGACGGACCTTGATGAGGGAGACAACGGAGTGGTGACATACAGCATTGAAGGGCCTGGAGTAGGTATGTAGCTCCATCAGCAACAGGTATGCAAACTGATATAGAGGGAGACTGGTTGAAATCCCAGAAACCTTCAAAAGCACAGACTAGTGCTATTTTATACAAAATTGCGTAGCCAGTTTATATGAGTTCGATGAATGTTTCTGGAGCTCATCATATAATATGAATGAATGTATCACGTGCTCAGTCAATATATAAATCCAACCATTCTGCTCCAGTCCGCCAGGCAGTTTCTCTTTTATACTACACCATAAACTACCACATTGCTTTTGTGATGGTGCAGTGAGACGCCTCTCTTCTGTCCTTAGAGGCCTTCAAAATCCATAAAGACTCGGGGCTCATGACAACTCGCCGACGACTGCAGTCTTACGAGAGGTTCAACCTGACCGTGGTGGCCACTGACAAAGGGAGGCCACCACTCTGGAGAACTGCAATGCTTCACGTGGACGTTATTGACATCAATGACAACCGACCGCTATTTGTCCGCCCTCCCAATGGCACCATCTTGCACATTAAAGAGGTGACGCCCTGTCTGGCATTTCTCATGCATCTGATAAAACCGTCCAGCCTCCCAAGGGTTACACGGCCCTGTCGTTTAGCCTGACAGATTTCTTCCCCGAGTGTATGTGCGACTGGATTCTTGCTGTTTGTTGGTCTGTGGATTTCTTACCTGCTTTCATAGCCAGAAGTGTATGGATAGTTTCTGTCTATGCAGGGTTATTCACAGGGTAGAACTAGAGTAATTTTCCTTCACCTTGGTCAAAAGCTACTTTTACTTGACTAATCGCGCTGCATAATCAGATACCGAAAGTTCTCCCTAGCCAACCAATCTGAATCTAGTGGATGGAATTGGAACTGGTTCTGAGTTACATTTGGAAACCAAGCTTGACAGATGATGGAAGGGCTGGAAGTGGAGGGGGCAGCTGGTCAACTTAGGGACAAACGGGGAGCTGCTTTTTGGTTCACTCAGCCCTCGGAGAGTCAGCTTTGCAGGCAAAATCATCTTGCAGGCTCCTTCTAACCCCTCATGTCAGCCTATAGAGCTCTTATCAGCAATCTGTGTTTAGGCTTCATGGAGAACGCCTGATTTCCTAGATTTGGTGGTGAGTAGTGATGACCACGTGTCCCTGAATGGTGGTGGTTTTCCATTCCACGACTCCCATAAAACCATATTTAAAGAGCTGAGCTGCTCATGGAGTGAGCAGTCCTGGCCCCGTCATCCTGAAAAAGAAAACAGAACCTCAGGTGCCTGTGGGCTGCCCAAAATTCCAGAACTCTGCTGACAAGCACTTCTGAAATGCCTGCCCTACGCTGCCTCTTCACTGTGTAGGCCAGAGGCTGCGTAGGAGTCATGACGAACAGAGCAGTTCAAGTGGATGAGAGGGAAAGTGCTGGAGTGTAGGATGGTCCTAGAGCCTCTTTTCAGTGGGGATGTAATAGGGGGCCGGCACCCTCATTAATAACCCTCCACTCATGTTTGATATAATTGAGATGTGGAGAAAGGTCCAGCTCCCTTGTCAAAAGCCTCTAAATCCTGCTTCTCTTGCAGGCAAAACATAATGACTGGAACCGGAATGATGGATCAGTCCATCAGGGGGCAGCAATGCATACAAATATCAAAGATGCCTGGGCTAGAATGAAGATTTCAGTTTGTTCAGTTTGATTTACGATGCATCTGCAGTTGCTGCGGGGCTGGTTGACAGCATTAATTTCAGCTGCTCTCTCTCCCTGTAGAAATGGGGTGCTTGTGTAGCAATGCAACTGCTGAGCCTGAAACTCAAGAATCTGCATTGCGGCAACTTCTCAGAACTTCAGAAGACCAACATGTTTCTATGCATTTCCATTCCCACTAATGGGAAAAATAGTTTGCAAGCATTGAGGAATCTAAACTTCTCCCTAGAACATGATGCTCCTGCACATGAAATTCTGTGTCCAGAAGTTTACTGGCACTTAGGAGGCATTGGCTGCCAACGTTCTCAGTGGCTTTTAATGAAGGAACAAGAATGTGTGTGTTCCAATGTCAGGTGTTTGTGGTTCACGAGACATGCGATTTTTCCATCTACGCCTACAGAGAGATATTCCTAACCCTTTGTTCTCCTCCTGCGCTGATCTGGGTTTATGTTTGCAAACAGGAAATCCCTCTACGATCCAATGTGTATGAAGTCTATGCAACAGACAAGGACGAAGGCCTCAATGGAGCTGTGCAGTACACCTTACTCAAAACTGGTGCAGGAAACAAAGACTGGGAATATTTCACCATTGCCCCCACCAGCGGCCTCATTCAGACAGCAATGAGGCTGGACCGAGAGAAGCAAGCTGTGTACAATGTAAGTCGCGGGGCAGGAAGGTCAGGACTTTCACAGCCCAAATGGTTATTTGTCCACCGCAGCCAGCTGTGGAAAGCTTCGCCCCTCCCTGCTCCAAAAATTCTCAGGCCAGGCCAAAGATCTGTCCAAGCTCTGTGACGATGCCCAGGCCTCCGACTGAAATAACAAACTCCAGAACAGGATTAGGAATGTGATCAAATGATGTTGGAGTGGAATTACTAGATAATTAACACAGTTACAAACCAGCAAGATAATGCAGCCTAGCAGGCTATTTCTAAACCTCTGGCCAGTGGTGGCTGGTGAAATTTGGAGTTGGTGCGGCAGTTTCTTTTGCTTGTGCGCAGCACGTACCTTTTTGTGTGTGTTGTTGTTAGTTGCAAAGTCATGTCTGACCCATCGCGACCCCATGGACAACATTCCTCCAGGCCTTCCTGTCCTCCACCATCCCCCGGAGTCCACTTAAGCTCACACCCACTGCCTCAGTGACTCCATCTAGCCACCTCATTCTCTGCCGGCCCCTTCTTCTTTTGCCATCTATTGTTCCCAGCATTAGGCTCTTCTCCTGTGAGTCCTTCCTTCTCATTAGGTGGCCAAAGTATTTGAGTTTCATCTTCAGGATCTGGCCTTCTAAAGAGCAGTCAGGGTTGATCTCCTCTAGGACTGACCGGTTTGATCGTCTTGCAGTCCAAGGGACTTGCAGGAGTCTTCTGGATAAACCAATAACTGGCTCCCACTCAAGAAAACTAAAAATGACCAATGTTCACCAATCATAAAATGTTGTTGTAGGGCCAGAGCTAGCCATAGAAATGTGAGGAAGGAAATGGAGTTTGGCATAAGGCACCAGCAATATCAATCTATATAGCTATCTATCTAGGTCTAAACATTGATAGCTAACCTCACCTTGAAAATTGCTAAATTCCTTGCCCCAGCTATTCCCTTGTATCCAAGAGTTCTACAATTCATCATTCTTCAAATTATATACAGACATAACACTCTGGAGATATTATTACTCATCTTCTTCATTTTAGAAAGAATTTGCTGACCCAAAATTACCCTTCTGTTGGTACCCACCAAGCTACCTGCTTCTCCTGGTTTTAATTTGGTTTCTTAACATTATTTTTATTTTTTTAAAAACTGGATGTTATTATGTTGCAATGCAGAGTGTGGCACTTTATTTGGGAATCCTACCAGTTTCTCTCCACCATGTGCAGAAATGTTCTACATGAAGCCAGTTTAGTTCCTGCTTAGCTCCTTTCTGACTTCAGATAGCATCAAAAGAATTCCTTTCTGCCTTTCTTATGTTGATCTCCATCAACTGCAACCATTAGCAGTCTTCTCTGCTTATCCTTCCTTTACTTCTCCTACTTTCATTGCGAGTTAGTGAACCCTTGTTTGTAAAGAAATGACAGAATATGGCAATAAGAGCTCAGAACCTAATTTATATGGCTCTTGCCTGATTTGTTTTGGTGATAGCCATGTTCAGCTACCTTCAGAAATTCATCAGTAAGTTTGAGAACTATGATCTCAACAACTATGGGCTATCATGAGGTAGAAGTCACTAAAGCTATAGAAAAATCATCAGTCCCACTTCTGTTCTACCATCAGTTTTTTCTGTGTCTTCAGTGGCCTCCACTTTGTACTTCATATCCTCAGAAAGTTCTGTTGAGTCTCCTAAACCCTCTATGGCCGTTGATTACACTTCACCTTCAAAACCTACTTCATCCATAATATCTTCAACATCTAGAATACATTTTGGATCCTTAGTATTCAGGTCTTGACCTCTGAGTCTTCCGCTATGAAATCTTTCATAGAAACATAGAAACAAATACATTTAATAACAAATATATTAAAGAGCAAAAAGTCCTCTCTTCCACTCTGTAAGCTTACAGAGAAGATCTGTAGATAGGCTTCTATCATTTGACTGTGCCTATAACTAGGGCAGATCATGTTCTTCCTGATTCTTCATCAGATTAGAATAGTGCATTCATAAATTATCTCTGAAACCTGGAGTGATGTGTCATATGTTGTGCAAGTGAGGGGAAAACTGAAATTGAACTCTTTTCCATTAGAGAAATGTCAAGTGCCACAAGCTTTGTGCCTGGGCACAGAGAGACCTGACATCAATAGCAGATGCGCCACCACTCCATGGCATCCCCATCTGGCACGGATGCCCTCCTTTCCCTCTCACATCAAGGACAAAACTCTATGGCAAACTCCATGCATCTTCAATACCCTCTTACTGATCCATCATAGTATTGAAAATGCCTCTCCTCACACAGGAAACCCAGCCAACCTTGCCTGAATATTTGGACTTGATGCCTCCTTTCTGCATTACTTTTTACTTGTGTCAGAAGCACCACAAACTAGTAAAAGGCCATAAAACAAACCCAAGACCAAACCCGAAACCAAAACCAAACCCGAAACCAGAAACCGAAAAGCAACATAGCATATGTGTAAGCACCAGTATACAAGAATAAGATCACAGATCCTGGCTAAACATATCAGGTAAGGCTCACCCAGTCTCAGTGGCAACAGGAGTGTCTGGTGCAGCTAGCATCAGATTTTCCAGTGTTTCATATTTCATGGCACAGCAAAATCTGTTCTCGACACTATCACTCAAATTATTCCACTTTTTCATCAAGACTTCCCCAGCAGAATCTGCCACTTCCTTTTGTTTTGTTAAAGGGAAATCTTTTTGAACTTCTTGGAACTTGCCACCTGCATCAGGCTTCATGTCCCATTATTACCATGGTGGACCTCAGGTTAGCAAATAATTCATTGTATATGCCAATTGTCATTACTGAAGTTCTTTAGAGGCAAAGGGATTCTGTTTCCAGATTCCACTTACAGGCTGACAGCTTTTTCATAATTCTACATTTTGCAGCAAATTGTCCTACCACTTTTCGTTCCTTCTTTCATACCCTAACCTGAACCCTATCATTGACAGAATGATGTCATTCTGAAATCTAACCCCCTACTACCCTTTCCGGCAGGGTGCTTTTTCCTCTTTCCTCTGCAGCTGCAAGATCTTCCATTACAGCCATTGCTGCCTCCTTTCCAGCTTCTTCCCTTCTACATTTGTAAACATTGTCAGGAGCTCTGAATTGTCACTCATGTTCATAATGACGGCACAGTGCAACTTTGCAGGGTGGGAGGAAACCCTGAAAATTTGAAGGAAGACCAGAATTGTTGACCTTCAGACTTTCATGACAGGGCAAAAGGCTTAAAAATGAACCATCTTGATTTCTCTTATCTATTCAAGGGCATTTAAATAATCAATCAATATAATTAACTTCTCCATTAACAAAACAATAACAGAATAATCTTTCATTACAGGTAAGGTAAGTGGGAAGGCATACCCAGAGCCATCCGCCTGTCTTTGGTTGTGGCTCTGGATCGGTGTTTTCCCTAAGAAAGGTGTTTCCCATGGTTTATTTTCATCATTTATCAGTTCAACTCCAGTGAGAGGGATGTTTGGTTACTCACCTTTAAGGTTTGGAGACTGAACATTTATAGTGCTGAGTTGTCCATTTTTCAGCTCGTTGCAGGTCTTTATGCCTGCAGTTCCTCCTTTATCGTCCTTGTAATAGTAAATTCAGTTGGAATTTAGTGCCTCGTATGAAAACAGACGTTTTTCCACTCTCTGGAATTGAGCCCGGTCACCAGAGCTGTTAAATCCTCAGGTCTGAGACAGCTCTCTAGTGCTACATGGTGCAGCAAGGAATGGCCGGGAGAAAAGGCGTCTTTTGCATCCTTCCCCACTGCTGAATAAACGCACGCACAGCAACCCAACAAAGAACTGATACACTGAACAGTCTTCTTGGCCAGCTTTGCTCGTTTGCAGCTGCTCTTCGGCTGATGCAGTCCATCTGTGTACTGTTTCCCCTTTCTGACTCGAATGTCTGGCTCAGGGTTGGGGTTCTCCTTTTGTGCTTCTGGTGGCAGGGAAAGGAGAACCCAGAAATATTGGTTCCTTCTGGAGCCTCTGCTCTTACCACTGGCAGGCCAAGTACATGACCGTCTTTTTCTGTTCTTCCCTTAGCTGATCATTGTGGCGTGCGATCAAGGCCAGCCGCCCTATGAGACCATGCAGTCCCTCCAGGTGGCTCTGGACGATATCGATGACAACGAACCTTCCTTCCTGAGGCCGCCTGTAAGCAGGTCTATTTCTTCCCCTGCTGGACTTGGGTGGGGCTGCTGAATGTCAGATCCCAAGGTTCAATCAGTAGGGCGCCTTTAAAAGCAATGCACAAAATACGCACAAAAGCAACGCTCCTCTCTCCCAGAATGCACTTTGTAGAACATTTGCAACCTCACACAAGCTCAGAATCCTGAGGACTCAGGAACAAGCTTGCTTTAAGAAAGCAATGTTGATTTGTTACTTTTAACTGTAGGGAAAAGCTTAATTCCTGTAATGGAGACTTGTTCAAACAAAAGGGAGGGATCTCCTGTCCCTGAGATCTGAGCTCAGTACAAAAAATTGGGGAAAGATAGAATAGTTTGCTACAGAGGCGTAGTTGAGAAGAATATTTTCAGTGTAAAAGCAATGCCATAAAGTGAAGCTATTGGTAATCTGTATCACAGACGTATCTAACAAAGTACTGATGGTCTTGCTCTCTAGGTTTTTTCATCTGGAGATGTTGATCCTCAAATCCTACCCTGAGTCCTTTTATGTTCAGAGCATGTATGATTCCATATAGGAGGCTCTCAGAGTTTAACTCTTTGTAAGTTTAATAGGGGAGGGAGAATTATGTTGCTGTAATTTAAGGTCCCTGCCTTGAAATAAATCATAAACTAATTAAACTGCTTTCAGAAATAAAAGGATAATTAAGGGCCCCAGGGAAAAAAAGAAAAATGATAAGCTGTGTTTTGTTTGTTTTATTTAATACATTTTGATACTTCTCAATAGCAGCTTTCTTTCAACTGCTTTGTGAGTTGCATTAGGACCTCTCCCAGCTGGGCAGCCCTTGTAGAGTGGGCTTTTCTCCCCTTCAGGCCATCCCTCCTTCAGTCCCATTTGGACTGAGTTCTCCAGTTCTTCTGGAGGGGGAAGAAATAAGAACTGACCTAGGAGGTTGTCATGAAGGGGAAATGGTTCTTAAAAAGACCGGAGGGTATTGTAGGTGGTTATTAAAAGGGCAATGCTGGTGTTGGAAGGAAGAAATTATTTGAGCTGGGGTCTGATTAGGCATTGGGTTTCTGTGGTGGCAGGGAAGGACATGTACTTAGCTGAGGTGAGGAAATGAGGGAAAGCGATTGAGAAAGAAAACGGACGGGATATAAATTAATGGGATCTAGGTGTGTGAGAGGGAGGGAAGGAGGGAGGGAGAGAGGGTTTGCCTTGTCCAGTGGGTGCTTTGACTTCACGTGCCGCCAACATGCTTCTCTGGAGCCGCAGTGGCCCTTGGCCTGGGCAGGATTCCCCTGTGCTGGAGAGAGTTGCTCGCCATGGGCTTGCAGCGGGATGCCACGCTCGATCACTGCTCCATTTTGTCTGCAGAGAGGGGGCCTGCCTTACCAGGTGCTTTCCGTGGCTGAGCACTCGCGCCCTGGGACCGTCGTGGGGAACATCACCGGGGCAGTGGATGCCGATGAGGGCGCCAATGCCATCGTCTACTACTTCATTGCAGGTGGGCGTGGCTTCTTCTTCACATCCTCCCTTTGAGGGTTTCGGTACTGTTTTATGCCAGTAGCATCTTCAGTGACACATCACCCGCCTAACCTCAGATGTGCTACCTGTTCAGTGTTAAAATGTTGTTATGGGTTGTTACGTAGGGATGAAATTTGTCTAGCATAATCCTTCCCATTTAAATGTTCAATCCAATGTACCATTTGAGTTACCCAGTAGCTTGTGCTTCCAATAGTTTTTCCAACCTTTTTTTTTGTCCTATAACAGTAGGAACCCCCAAGTCCCCATCATTGTAACCGAAAGAACTTCGGATGTGTAAAAGCAGCTTATAGTATGGAACAACTCTAAGCACTTCTTACCGTCCCCCTAGCAGTGCTGCATTATGATAATATGGCAGATGCTTTCATTGGCTGTATAGGAAAGATCTACAAACATTTTTTTCCTGCTATAGAGTAAGCTCTTCCTCTTCTGGAGCTAAATACGTACAGTACATGCACATAACGTATTCAACATAGATTCCCTAATTTCTCTTTCCTCCACCCCCATGTCAGAGAGACTTTTGTTTTCAAAGAAAAGAATTCAGATTCCTGGCATTTTAAAGCTATTCCATTCTTTAAAAAAAAACTTAAAATATCAATGAGGTGTTGCACAGAGGTTCCAACAAAGATTTCAAGGCTGAACTAATTCTTTCTGTGTGTGGATTTGTCTAGGTCTTTTTCTAGAACCCCTTTCTTTAATGGCCTGGGATGGATTATGCCAGGAATGATTCAAGCCCTTTGCCCTGCATTTTATAAACCCTTGTCTCGTGTTGCCTAGGAAGGCCACAGTAGGAATCTCTCAGTCCGCTTGCCTTCATTCTGGGCTGCAGAAATTGCAGTGGGGAAACCAGATTGTATGAATCTCTGACACTGCTATATTTATAAGCTTTTCAATGTTCTGGAATTACATAGGAGCCGCTGCCATCAGCTATATGATTTTTTATTTATTTATATATATATATATATATATATATATATATATATATATATATATAATTTTCCAATCGAAAATACAACCAAGGAAAAAACTTGCATCTAAAATAGAAATTTATAAAATTAAACATACAATCAAAATAATTCTTACCTTTACAGTGCCCTCCACCACCAGGACCAGTGATATATTTTATAAATAATGATCATAATATACCTCATTCAAACATTTCAATGAGGTTTCCCCTCCCCAAAACTGTATGAGTCTTTCAAAGGCTCGTCTCCTTTCTCCTTTTTAAAAACATAATAAATGCACGCCAAATATCATTAAACATATTTTTTCTTTATATGCCCTTTTCTCACTTTAATCTCACATGTTAATTTGTCATTAATAGCTATATTCCAGCTACATGATTTCTAAAGAGTGTGCTGATAAGCTCCTCCAGAGCGGGAGTTTAGTTGGCATCATGTTTTCCAACAGCAGCATCCATGGCACATGGCTATGAAGGCCACAGGTTGTTCGGTCCTGGTCTAGAGGCACCCTTAGAAAAATCAGATCTCCGTGAGCTGATCATTTCCCCCCATAAGCACCTTCATTGCATCTGGTAGGACCAGAAGAAACCTGACTTGAGTTTCTATGCCCATTTCTGTTTTCTAATCGACCTGCTATCATAGATAACCCATTTTGGGAAGGAACAGATTTGAGGAGAAGCTAACTAGTTTTCTGTCTTTCTTTAGCGGGTAACAAAGAGAACAACTTCCAGCTGAGTCGGGAAGGGATGTTGCAGGTGCTGCAGGACTTGGACCGAGAGAAAGAGGCTTTCTACTCTCTTATCATCAAAGCCTCTAGCAATAGGAACTGGACACCGCCCCAGGGTCGCCGGGCAGCCAGGATGCAGGCCATGGACCTCAGCACTGACACGACCCTGCAGGATGTACGGATCTTTCTGGAGGATATCAATGACCAGCCTCCCAGGTTCACCAAGTCAGAATACACGGCAGGTAAGGAGGACCCCACCTGAGTGTGGCTGATCAGTCAGGAGGCTGTTCTTGTGGAGGTTACTTTCTTGAATTCCTGGCAGAGATGGAATAAAGCATGTTAGCCACTGGGCTGCGTGATTTCAGTAAAGTTCCAAGTACAAAAGAAACAGTCTGTGCTGAATGGCAGTTTGAGCACTTACGGTATACTCAGTCTCCACCCACTTAACCAATATATATTAAGATGTTTGAATGTACATTTATATTCTGTAAGCTGTTCTGGGAGCTTGACTAATCAGAAATACTTGTATGTATGTAGAAGTACCATAAATGAATAAATAAATTATATGCAGTTTGGTATATTGTATAACTGGGCAAAAAAATGAGAGCCAGTTATCAGAAGAATAGGTTTTGTCGTGTGTGAATTCTTGGACTGGTGGGTAAACTGCTCTGTTGCTGCTTTGCCCCATGGGATAGGGTAGTGTGATAGGGCTGTAATTATGGCATGGATGGTGGAAGGCGGGGGCTCTGTCTCTGTGTTGACCCCTTCAGGCGTTATTTCCCAGTAATTATTTCTGTCTCTATTGCTCTGTCTCTTGTCTTTTCCTTTGGCACTTTACTTCTCCTTTTCCTGTCAACACATGCACCTCCTGGAAGGGGTTGCAACAGATGCGAAGGTGGGTTCTGAGCTGATCAAACTTGTTGCACTGGATGCTGACGTGGGAAACAACAGCCTGGTCCTGTACAGCATTCTGGGGATACGCTACATCAAGCAGCATTCGAATGATTCTGAAGAGGTGGCCAACATTTTCAGCATTGGTGAGAATGGCAACCGCATGTGTGTGAACCTGTATTGGTTAACCAGCACAGTATGCCTTTCCTTGCATTACATGTGTAGACTAGAGCCCTTTTCAGCCTGTCCAGTGAAGGCAAGGCATGGCGTGCTTCTGGGTCCATAATCATTCAACTTGACATCTGCAGGTTTGCTTGACCTCAGAGGGTTGCTTTAACCTCCTCAAGCAAGGAGCAAGCACAATGCAGCTATACAGCCGATGCACTTTCCTTCTATATGGGGATCTCTTTGCTGAAAGTTACATTGAACTTTGATAGATGTTTGAGTGAGAAGGTTAAGAGAGAACAACTTCTCCTCCAAAGTGCTAGGTAGTTGGAAAATCTGACCCTCCTAAAATATTGGCAAGTCCCTTCAAGAGCCAGATTTAGCTGCCCATTATCGGCAGTTTTAGATGGGCATTCTTATGTGTGCTGTATGAAAACTATGTAATAACATAGAAATTGAAACTCTGAAACATATCCTTTTCATGTGAAATTTTTACAGGGATGCGCATACAAGATTCCTTACCCCTATAATGAGCGTTTTCCCAGGTAGAACCTTCAGTTGGTTCCTAGTTGATAGGAATAAGGTCAACACAGAATTAGCAGCCAAGTTTTTTCTATCAGCACAAAGAACATGCAAGAGGATTCTTACCTCTTTTTTATAATACTTATTTGTTTGCAAGTATTCTCCATGTATTTTATTTAACTATTTTAATTTTTTAAAAATGTTTTTATGAGTTCTGTCAGGTCTTTGACCACATAATAAAGATTGGTTGATTGATCGTAACAGCAACATAGAATAAAACTATTCTTTCTGCTGCATTTATCTGCAAGCCTAGTTCATTCTTCCTTAGGCAGATCTTTGGCTGGTAGCAAGCTAATTAGTTCTGGAAGTGAGTAAGCTAAGGGCTAATCTATATTGTCAGAGTACTCTGGTGGGATAGACCTATTTGGATTGTACCACTTGAAACTGTAACTAGGAGACTGCATGCTTCTTTGAAAACACTTCCTGCTGTTAACATATCAGAGAGGTGGCCAGGCTAGAGTCTGTTGACCTGCTGTGTTTAGTTTTTGAGTGCTTAGAGATTTCAGACATCAGACCTACAATCTCCCACTTGCAGTCCGAAGTGGCATAGTCTCAGTATTGGTGTTTGATTCAATGATGTAGGCCAGGATCTGGTTCATTGTTGGTCTTTCTCAAAGGCAATCTAGATGGGATTCTTCGGACCTTTGACCTCTTCACTGCCTACAACCCTGGCTACTTCGTGGTGGATGTCATGGCTTCAGATCTGGCTGGCCATAATGACACTGCAGTTGTGGGAATCTACATCCTGCGGGATGATCAACGGGTAAAGATCATAATTAATGAGATCCCAGATAGAGTCCGACAGTTTGAGGAGGAGTTCATCAGCCTGCTGTCCAACATCACAGGGGCCATCGTCAACACGGATGATGTGCAGGTAACTCTTGGCTCGGGACCACAGGCTCATCCTCTTCAGACCCAGCCTTTTGGGACAACACACCTGGGAGTCGCTTTCTCACAGCAAATGTCAAAAGGGGTTATGTTATGGGTAGGATAAAAGAAAGGACTTCTGTTTTTTCTCTCCTATAGTTTCACGTTGACAAAAAGGGCCGTGTAAATTTTGCCCAAACAGAATTGCTGATCCATGTGGTAAATCGGGAAACCAATCGGATTCTGGATGTAGAACGGTAAAGATGCAGAGTTTGTGTGTGTGTGTGCGTGTGTGTGTTTAGATTCGAATTCATGACTGAGATGGCGTTTGAACTTGTTTGAACTTGGGGCTTCCCAACTCACCCTGTTGCGTAACAGCTATAGAGGAAGAGCTGTCTCTTCCAAGAAGTCTTTTTTTGGGGGGTTCAGCAGTTAAGAGGAGACGTCTGCCTGATGTCCAGCTGAAGGCTGGTTCTGTTCTACTTCTCACATAAAAAACAGATCAAATCACACTGAATAGGATGCCGGACTGAGCACGCTGCATGCCATTTGTGGATAACTTTTGAATAAGTGATTAAACAGTGTCTCCTGCGTTACACACCAATACAAGCACAAGGAGTCTTAGCCACATACGATAGTATTTCTTTAGATTTTGGATCACTGTGGTCAGTAGGCATGTGACATTAGTCCTTATTTTGACTGGATCCCATAGCCTATTTCATTTATAGTGGACGTCGGCAGGATCTGATGATCACAATAGCAAAGATGTGTTTAATCAAACTGGCTGCTTCAGATTCATTCAACCACGAATTCACCAATGAAATGACCTTGGAAGGGCCATCTCACAGCAGAGGTCGCACAAGCCCCAACCTTCTAAACAAAGTTGATCCACCACCACAAGACTCCCACTCCCAATTTTAGAGTGCTGCAGCAGTAAAAGAAAATGAGAAGAATGTCTGGTGGTTGGCCCTACAGTGCTTCTAATGCAAGATAATTGAATGAATGAGTTTCTACTTCCAGAAGCTCTGGAGCTTGATCTTTCATATCAGGCTTTTAAAGTGGGTTTTTAGCCTCAGAATGTTGAGTCAATAAATAAATGTTCAACCCTTTTCCCAGCGTTATACAGATGATTGATGAGAATAAGGAGCAGCTGAGGAATCTCTTCCGGAATTACAATGTCTTGGATGTGCAACCTGCTATCACAGCCCGGGCTCCAGATGATCTGTCAGCTCTGCAGGTGAGATGAAGTTGGAGATACTTTGTGTCTAAGAGTACTGCACCTCCAGCCTCAGTGCCTTGTTTTGTTTGGGGGGCTTTGTGTTTTGGGATTGGTCTTAAAACGATAGGATTTCTCATGTCAAAAAGAACTGTCATGATGGAACTCTGCTTTATCTGAGTTTTTGGTTTTCAAAGGGGGACCCATATCAACACAAAGAATGTTCAGCAATGCATTTTCATATAGATTAATTGCATCAGCCACCAAATGGTGAATTTGCTGTTCATATTCTCTCACAGTGACCCTCAGAGTGTAATGTGGAACTACCAAATTGGATCTTCATATTCCATACTCAAAGAAACTGTTCCCAAAGAAACTGGTGGCCAAGCAATTTTCTAGAAATGCCATCCCTACTGTAATGGTTTGTCTTGTTTTTGTTCTGTTTTGTTTCTTGTCATTTCTAGATGGCAATAATCATTCTGGCTATTCTCCTCTTCCTGGCAGCCATGTTGTTTATCCTCATGAACTGGTATTACCGAACAGCGTGAGTAACCTTCAAGGCCTACACAATGTTTGATCAAGCAATTTGTAATACTTGCATACTGCTTAGCAGAGCAAAATCTCCATGTGATTTACCCATGAAATATGAAACATATAAAAATATTTGAAATCAGAATTTAAACTACATATCTAAAGACATACCCTGATGCTGGTAACGATTGATGGCAAAAGGAGAAGGGGATGGCAGAGGTTGAGGTGGCTGGATGGGGACGATAGGTGAGGGCTTGGGTGGACTCCGGGGGATGGTGGAGGACAGGAGAGCCTGGAGGAATGTTGTCCATGGGGTCACAATGGGTCGGACACGACTTCGCGACTAAGCAGGGAGAGATCTAAAGACAGATACCTTTCCACTTTCCAGAACAAAAGAAGCAATAAAGATGAACCGTAAAATAAAGTAGATTCATGATGCTCAATTCTGAGCCAGGAAGAGCTTGTTTGAACAGGTAGCGTTTCATGTGGCATAAAACATCACACCTTTTCCTGCTCCCAAACTGAATGGAGGAGGGAGTTCCATGGCAACATTCTGTTCAACCTTCTGTCTGTTGCAAAACAGCCAACAAGGAGAGAACAGGTCAAGCATCACAATAAAGGCATACTTTTTTTGACTTGTCAGAACAAATGTTGTGCATTACAGGTAGAAGCCCTAATTTGGAGATTTAGAATAATGGCTGTATATTTCCTTCTGTCGTCCCAAAGAATAGATCACTCTGGGAGATGACCAGTGGCGCATACAATGGCCTGGTTCAGAGGATCGAAGGATTATGATCATCAGCTGAGAGCGAGAGAGCAGCCAGTTCCTTGCTTCCACTTTGTATAAAATCCTGAGCTTTGTTCAGCAAAGCAGACTTGAGCGAGCGATTGCGACCAGCATGCTCACTCTGTGTGTCCACAGACCACATGATAACCCACCCTCAAGGCTTGAGCATGGGTTCAGTGTGGGTTGCCGTTGAAGTGTGAGCTGTCGTATTGTTGGCACCCAGTTGCTTGTTGGTCACAAACAACCCCTTGGAGAGAATCCATACTTTGTTTCAGGGTTGTTCATCGTGATTTGCAATCTCAAATGGGTTCAGAAAACATGGCAGCCTATGGTTCAGTAACTCACATCAACTCCTGAGTGTGGTTTCTTATGTTCTCCAACTTGAGTCATTATTTGTTCATCATGGCATGCTTGATCATCCAGACAGTGGTGCCTCTCCCACCCTTTTAGTGTTTTAAGATAGGTTGCTGCTTTAAAGCAGCCTTCCCCAACCTGGTGACCTGAAGATGTGTTGAACTACAAGTCCTTTCATGCCAGCAGCACGTTCTCTGGACAAACAAGCTGTGGATGATGGGAGTTGTAGTTGAGAACATCTGCAGAGCATCAGGCTGGGGAAGACCAGTTTCAATTGTGTCTCACTCGGTTGCCTGCACTCCAGTTCATGATCCAGTTGGCCTTGTCAGGGGAGGATGGAGGCTTGTGCAAGAGGGTGCAAGCTGAATTGCACAGAGGGAGATGCAGTAAGGCAACACTCTTGTTTCCTCATGCTTATAACCCATTCTAGGTTGGGACTAGAATGTGTAATTCAGAAATGGATTTCTCAGAATAACTTCCTATATCCAACAGAACTGAATTCAATAAAAGCATCACATTTCTAAAACAATGATTTAGGGAGAATTGCGTCTGAATCTTGCTATGCCTGCAGGGGATAAAAGCCCATTATCAGCTAAAAATGTATGTCAATAGCAAAGCTAGCAAACATAGAAACAGAGAAACAGAGCGAGTCAGAAGGGGTCTCCTGGGCCATCTAGTCTGACGCCCGGCTCCAGCCGGCTCCGCTCACGACATGCCCACCATGTGCATGTCCAGCCTATCCTTGAACACCCGCACCGATGGGGCCTCAACGACCTCTCGTGGAAGCCCATTCCACACCCTTGGGGTCCTGACTGTCAGGAAGTGCTTCCTGGCATCTAAATGGAAACTTGGCTCCCTGAGCTTTGCTCTGTTGGAGCACGTCCTGCCTTCCTCTGCAGGGGAGAACAGGTCTCTACCCATCTCCATGTGACATCCCCTCACATACCTGTATGTCGCCAACAGATCCCTCTGAGTCTCCTCTTCTCCAGGCTGAAGAGACCCAGTTCCCTCAGTCTCGCCTCATACGGCATCCCCTGCAAACCAGCCACCAACCTTGTGGCCCTACGCTGCACTGACTCCAACCTGGCTATATCCTTTCTGTAATGAGGGGCCCAAAACTGAGCACAATACTCCAGTTGCGGGCGCACCAGAGTCATAGAGTGGTAGTAATACCTCTCTCGATCTAGAAGCCACACTTCTGGCTATGCAACCAAGGGTGGCGTTCGCCCTCTTGACCACCGCATCACACTGCTGACTCATGTTTAGCCTGCAGTCAACCAGTACCCTGAGGTCCCTTTCGCAAGTGCTGCTCTCCAGCCACTTGTCACCTAGCCTGTACCTATGACACCTATTCCTATGCGCCAAGTGCAAGACCTTGCACTTATCCACATTGAATGCCATCCTGTTGTCTCCTGCCCACTTCCATAGTCTGTCCAGATCCTTTTGGATCTGGAGTACCTGCTCCTCAGTTGTGGCCACTGCTCCAGTTTTAGTGTTGTCTGCAAATTTGATCAGCAGACTGTTCACCCCTTCTTCCATGTCATTAATGAAAAGATTAAACAGGATCGGCCCCAGGAGAGAGCCCGGGGGGACCCCTCTTGTCACTGGCTGCCATCCCGATGATTCCCCACTAATGGTTACCCTCTGCTTTTGGTCAACCATGCCCAATCCACCAGACAGTGCTTTGGTGTATCCCAAAACTCCTCATTTCTCCACCATGATACAATGGGGCACTTTGTCAAAGGCCTTGCTGAAATCCACGTATACCACATCCACTGCATCCCCTCCATCTAGCCATCTCGAAACCTTGTCATAGAATTCCACAAGGTTTGTCTTTGCGGAAGCCGTGTTGTGTGGCTGTCAGCCTCCCTTCCCTATCTAGCATCACTAGATCTCTCTCTATTATGAGCCTTTGCATTGTTTTTCCTGCAATGGACGTAAGGCTAACAGGTCTGTAATTCCCCATGTCCCTTCTACTACCCTTTTTGAAAATTGGGACCACTGATGCCACCCTCCAGTCCTCTGGAACTTCACCCGTTCTCCACAAGGCCTCAAAAATGGAGGCCAGCGGGCGTGAGAGTACCCCTGCCAACTCTCTAAGTCAGGGGTCTCAAGCTCAACTTACCTGGGGGCCGCTGGAAGTAGAGTCTGGGTGAGGCTGGGCCGCATCAAGCGGTGGTGGTGGGCCGCTCATCCCGTGGGGCTCCTGGAAGCCGGCCCGGGTGCCACCGGCGCTTTGAAGGCCGCAGGGCCCCTCCCCCGTGCCCCCCCCCCGCCCCGGCAAGTGGCCCGCGGGCCGCAAGTTTGAGACCCCTGCTCTAAGTACTCTCGGGTGTAACCCATCAGGGTCTGGCGCCTTTGTGATGTCCAATGCCCTGAGGAGCCCCTCGACTTCAAAGGGAGTGACTCTAATCTGTGCCTCTAAGTCCCCAGCCTCATCTAATCTCCTATGCGGATATCCCCCGTCCTGCTTTGGGGAGAACACAGAGGCAAAATAGTCTTTCCTTTTTGTGGCTGGAAGCAAAACACTGCGATAATTTTAAGGGGCTCCAATCATTCACATTACACTTGCAAAAGACTTCACAATATGATCCTCATGTTCCTTTTCCCAGTTGTTTACTTCTTTTAAATTGTTTTGCAGACATAAAAGAAAATTGAAAGCGATTGTAGCTGGTTCCACAGGTGAGAGATACTGAAAGTCCCTTTTTTCTGGCTTGGGGTGTAGTGGGAATGGCCATTGATCAATGTGTGAAGGTAGACGTCACTCATAAGACTGGCTGATCAAGCCAGCAGCCTGACACAGGTTGCTTCCACCCTTTGGCTTGTCGTGTTGCTGAAATATTGCTTTCCCACAGTCAGCTGGAAGTGAAATTAAAGCAGTGGTTTCAAGTAGCACAATGTAATGCTTGTTCACTGAGCTTCTTCTATAATGAGTAGGCAGCATGGTCAGAAAAACGCAATGGTCCCCTGCATTTTTAATTGGCTGCTTCCTCCAACATGATTCTTTCCTGTTCAGTTACTTTTCCCTGTTGCAGGGGGAGGGGATATTAATTATTTCTTTTCTCTTCCCCCACTTTCTTATTGAAAAAAAATTACTAATTTACTATAGAAGAAAGGAAAGGGGAGGAAGAAGTCAGTGGAAATTTATAATTAAAGCCGCCCTCCCATTTTGGTTGACTGCCTAATATTCAGCTGTTGCTACGATAAAAAGAAGCTATACTGGGGCAGCAACAGCAAGAAGGAACTTTTATTTCAAGACACAGTAGTCCTCAAAAGCTTCAATAGTACTTTGAGAGTTAGGGCAAACTGGTGCTGCAATTGTGTTTTAATTTTTAAAATTGCCACAAATCAGGTCTGAAAAAAGATGGGTGGACAACACAGAAAACACTGGAAAGCAACAGGTTGGCAACAACACCATCTGGATTCTCCATAAAAAGTGAGTGAACAAAGGATGCAATTCCAAATGAAACTGCTAATGTGGAAGCAACCAGACAGAGATTATGCGGTGAAACTTCCTTTGGCATGCTGATGAGTGGCAGGGAAAGCTTCACTGCTATATTTCTGTGTGTCAGGCTGCTGTTAAAGGCACAGGCCACAGGGCCAGTAAAAAAATGTCAGAGCCTACAGTCAGCTATGTAAATGCCTGTCAGTAAACTCCACGCATTGTCTCTACAGGTAACCGAGGTTTCATGGACATCATGGATATGCCAAACACGAACAAATATTCGTTTGATGGGTAAATTTCACATTCATTTCAGAAACACCTATCAGTAATTAACCCTATCCTGGACACATTATCATCCTATTTATTTTAGCCTTGGTCAATCTCAAGCGGCTGGCCAAGAGCTGGAAGGGCTCTTTCATGCAGGATGTGGTGGGAAGCCCAAGCCCAAGCTACTGGTCAGAGAACAAAAACTACCCTGGATTAATGTAGTTGTAGGATCAGAGGTTCCATTTTAAAACACAAATTTAGGATTCAGCCATATTTTCAGAGAGTTAGCCTGGAGAAAGGAATAGCCAGGAACTTCGTAGGATCCTGTTCTCATTGGTGCTTTCACCTCTCAACCTCCACCTTTCCCTACCATCCTCCTAGTGCTTCATGTGGAACATCTAGAAGTCCAACCCTATGCAAAATCAGATTTATATCCCAGCCTTTTATTTGTATCCTTAAAATATAAATTACAGGCAACAACACTCTCCAAAACTCAGGATGACCTCACTCAGCAGTTTTGTGTAGATGTAATATAGCATGGGGGGATCCCATGCTGGAGAATCCAAGGGCCAGAGGAGTACCCCACAAATACCACCTTCTGGAGATGGCCATCCAGGAAGAAGTAGAACCACTACAATATAGTGCCCCCTAATCCCAATTCAGCCCCAGAGGGATACCATGGCCAATGTATCAAAAGTGACTGTGAGATCTAAAAGGACTGATTCCCTGCCACCTGCTTGGCATCATACACAGCAACCAAGCTGTTTCCCTACCAAAACCTAGCCTGAACCCCAGCTGAAATGGATTCAGATAATCAGTCGCATCCAATTGTGTCTGGAGCTGGTTGGCCACCACCTGTTTAAGAACCTTGTCCGGGAAGGAAATATTTGCCACCAGCCTAAAATTATTGAGATCTTCTGGGTCCAGAGAGGGTTTCTTCAGGAGCAGCCTCATCACTTCCTGTTTCAGGTGGCATGGGTCCATTCCTCAGAAAGAGGCATTAATCAGTTCTTGAACCAACCAGCTGTTCCTTCTCTGTTAGCTTCTATTAGCCAAGATGGCAAGGATTCTGTCTAGAGGTGCATCTTCTCTGAGCATCTTGCCAATACCCTCAAGCTGTACTAACTGAACATCATCAAAAAGAAACCTAGATGAGGCAATAGTCTAGCTGTCTCACATGATTCCACTGCAACAACACTGGGTTCTGAGTCCCAGCAGATGCAAGAGATTTTATCCTGAAAGAATCTAGCAAATACATTGCAGTAGGCCTTGGACAGCTCCAAGATATCCTTGGTACCACCATCTAGTAGGCCACAGACAACTCTAGTGAGTTCCACTGGGGGGCAGACAGAGGCAGTGAGAGATTATGTCAGTGCCACCCTCACTGCCTCCAAATATACTCAATTACAGACACATACCATTATTCAGTTGCATGTACTAAGAGTTTTCCTCCTTTTGCACTCAGACCATCTCCTGTTTCATCCTGTTACTCTCAGCTCTAGGGAACGCCACAGAACCATACAAGCTCTACTGCAGAGAGGATGCCAGGTGCAATTGTGTCATCTGCTTGGGTCGTATCTGTATTCTAGAAACTGACCCGGGATTTGACAGGACCACCTGGCATATCAGCGAGAACATCCCTCCCGCAAGAGCTTTTGGAAACCATCGGGATCCATCAGCCTCCAGGGATGGACCATCTTAATCAGTCCCATGCCCTAGAGAGGGGGATCACTGTTGGTAGTCAAAATCTCAGCAGACCATGACAAAGTGGCCAATTCAAAGTCCCCCATCTTCCCACCCCACTATCTTCATGCCTGGCTGAAACAATCAAATCCAGAGCATGCCATGGCACATGCACTGGATGTTAGCACAGTCTCATGGTTGCCGGGGGTCTATGAAATTCCAAACAGCCCTAGATAGGGTGCCCTCAGCATGGAAGTGGACATCCCCTAGAACCAGCAGCCTCAGGAACGTCAACATCATGACCAAGGCACCTCTGTCAGCCCAGGTAGGAAGACTGTTGGGTCACAGGGTGGACAGTACACCAAGAGAATCTCCAATCTGTCCAATTGGCCCAGCAAGAGATGCAAACACTCTAGACTGGAGAGAGGGCATGTGAGAGAGAATTCCTGTAGACCTTCTAATCCAAACCTCAAGCGTTCTTTGATGCTAAACAGGTACCCTGGTGGGCAGAACTGGCAGAGGCGAGCTGCCCATGTTTACCCACCCAGATCTCAGTTATACCTGCCCAATTGTCCACCTTATCCACCATGAAGTCATGGATGAAGGAGACCTTATTGTGCACCAGGTTGGCGTTTAAAGGCAGCATCTGGAGACCTGAGAGCAGGCTGACAGGGCCATCATCAAACCTATGGTCATGAGATAGGCTGAAACATAGCAAGTTGCTAATGGCCTGGGCTGCATTCCCCTTACATGGCTAGCCCTCCACCCAGCACCATCTCATCTCTACCCATCACTACACCAATGGCCTCCCCCATCAGGATCCTCCATTTGGTCCCATAGTCTCCCTTCACAGTGCCTTTGAAAAAAGAGGAAGCCCCCTCCCCACTTACCTTTGCCCTTGAGTCCCCCCACACAGGGGTGACCCCCTTTGGTGCCCTCAGAGCCAGCAGGTACAGTCCAGGTGGACTGTATCTTGCAGTCAGCAGGCAGGCCCTGGATGTGGGGAGTTTCCCTCCTTTTCCCACAGCTGGAGCCTCAGGAACTTTCCTCAGCAGAGTGACAGCCCACTAGCCACAACGTCAGCCAGCAGAGAACAGCCGGAGAATATGGTAGGGAGGCTGGTAGGCGAGGCTAAGCCAAGTGGGGAAAGGGTGATGCCAGCATTCTCACCACTGCTGAGAGGGGTCTGCTTGGCGTGGCTACTGGCTTCAAGTCTCCAGAACATGCAGGTGTCCACAGGAACAGGCAGTATACAGAGCGGTCCATGAGAAACAGGTTCTCTGAATGCCGTGTCATCCAGCGAAGGTCAGCCTCCCTTGACTAAGCCTACATGGGAGGCAGCTCTTACTTTAAGAAGGCATTTTGAAAATAAGTGTGCACCAGGGTAGGGCAAACTGCTGCAGTTCGTCACTGTCGCTGTTGTGCCTCCCTTGCAGAGCAAATCCTGTGTGGCTGGACCCTTTCTGTCGAAATCTGGAGCTGGCAGCTCAAGCGGAGCATGAAGACGACCTACCAGAGAACCTAAGTGAGATAACAGATCTATGGAATAGCCCAGCCAGGACTCACGTGAGACGGCACATGTTTACTTTCAATGCTTAACATCAGAGTGCAGCCAACTGGCTAATCAGCTGAATTCTGGCTGTAGCATAAAACCCGTATGATGCAAGAGAGCATGCTTTGGAATCAGTGAGAATGACGCTTTAGCCATTGCATTTGTCCAGCTTTACTGTCCCATTGTGCTAGAGTATTTCTAGCAGCTGTGGAAGCATTAAGCTTTCTTCAGACTAATCAAGGTGGCCATAATATGTTGGGTTGGGAATGAAGCACAGTGGCAGCCTTTGCATGTGGTGTGCCTATAGATTCAGGATACTCAAGGCACAGTCCTATGGAAGTTTAGCCAGCAAAAAGGGATGCCTCTCCCAGCATTTCCCAGCTGGCGATGTAGGTCTTTTTCCTGGCTAAAGTGCCATAGGATTGTGCCCTACAATCTTGGGTTAGAAATTATGTCACTGTTTACTGTAAGGGCCACTTCATTCAGCTTCCTGATATCCACCTGTTAATTAAATATTGCCAAGGGAGTTAACCTGAAGAAAATGGGTATGATTTAGACAAATTATTAACAAGGGACAGTAGGAAAGTGAGTGGAGTTGCTAGGAAGTTTTTATAATGTTGTTTCCTTCAGTTCTATTGAGAGAGAAGCTACTTTAAGTTTCTACTGTTTAGGGAACATTTGGAAGAGAGCCTTCAGCTGCCAAACCTGAAGACGATCGCTATTTGAGAGCCGCCATCCAGGAATATGACAATATTGCCAAGCTGGGCCAAATCATGCGAGAAGGGCCCATCAAGGTGAGCATGTCCTGCGTTTTGACTCAACAGTGTGCAGGTTTATTTGCAATCAGTTTCTTGGTTGTGGAGATTGTAGGTAGGTTCGATCTCTGCAGTGTAGAACCAGGGCTGCCTATGAAGCCACCACCCCACTGGCAGCCTTTCGGCCCTTTCTGCATATCTGTAACTACTAGGAATGGAACTCTAGATGTCACTCAGCTTCACAACATCATCTTAAGCTGGAATACGGTTTGTTGGGATGTCCTGTTTCTGTTAGAATTGCACCAGATGCAATTCAAAAGCATTTACTCTGAACTTCAGAAAGTCTGAAGGTCGTCATTCCAGCCAATTAAAAATATGTAGTGGAAACTTGACTTTGGAGCGGCTTCTTGTGTGGATTTCCTAAAAAGGGTAAGTTTCAGCACAGGTGGCATAATTTTTCCTGTTGCCCACTTCCTCCCTCCTTCCAGGGCTCTCTCTTAAAGGTAGTCTTGGATGATTACATGCGATTGAAAAGACTGCTTGCTGAGCGGATGGTGCATAAAGCCACCACCAGCCATGGGGACCAGTCCTCAGTCTCTGAGGTAGAGTCTGTCTGTGCATGGAGGTTCTTAAAATGCTTGCTGTGCCCTCTGGGATGCTGTGTCTGCTTTGCACAGTGGTATCCTTCTGCGTGTACTGTGTGGTGCTCACAGCCACTCTGCGATCTATGAGCACATGAATATGGAGGTTTATCAGGACAGCAGAAGCGCTGTCTCTCTGCCTGCACGAGCTCTGATGCAACGTTTGTGTTTGCCTTAGCTCCTTGGCCCTTAAAGTCTCATCCTAGGCATGCCTATTCATGCTCCTCGCCACAGTGCAAAGTCTTCTTTCGGTTATTTCAGCCGTTCAGTGGCAAGTCCACCCCGTGAGGCAGCCAGCCTTTCAACGAGTACAAGGGTAGAACAAAGACTGGAGAAGACCTAGATCATTGCTTCATAAAGGAAAGGTGTGAGTTCATGTCATGGAAAGGTGTTCTCAGAAATAAGGGATGAAGACAATGTAAGGCCAAGACCTGAAGGAAGGATAGCAGGAATTAGGGGACATTTAGACACCAAGACCGACAGTAGCAAGGAGAAGGGTTTGGTTCTGTTTTTAATCCAAAAGAGAGGATTTGGGAGAGAAATAGGGCAGGGAAGAAAGCCAGGTCATTGTCTGCTCATCACTTTATGAAGGACATCATAGACAGAAAGATCTAAAAGGCTGTAAGATTTTTAGATTGTAAGTATGTGGGTAGAGTCTTACTCCTTATTCGCATGCCACTTTGGGAGTCTTTTTGACTGAGGAGTGGGATAAAAATACATAAATGAATAAGAATATTCTTGAATGAATATTCAAGAATTTAAGAATATTCATTCTTAAATGAGTAAGTAGCTGCTCCCCTGAGAATGCTGCCGTTTGATCACACACCAGCAGTGTTCAGAATGCTTAAATGCCTAAAAGCAATTGGCTGAACAGTAGACAAGAGAGATGTGTTTTCAGGAGCACCTCCTTTCTCTGCTATTTATTTTGTTGAGCCAAGGCGGACAAATGAGTCAGCATGCTATGTCAAAGTCTCATGTCCTCTGTCCAAAATCTCTCCCTCTCCAATTTCTATACTGGTTGACATTTTAAAAAATTCCTACATGAAAATAAATGAAGATTTGCACTTATTTTTATGCAAAGTTCCCTAACATGGAATAAATAATATACACATTATTAATCTTACCGTTGAGCCCAGAATTGCATTGAGAAATTCACAGAGGTGCAGAATGTGAATGATTTCTGTGTTCCAACTCACATATAAGTCCAAGAAATAAGATTTAGGCTGGTTTGCTTAAAAATATGGAGCAAATGAAATTCCCCCCAAGCCTCAGAGCCAAATGTACAGAGATGACCAGTAATTGTCTCTCTAATCTTTTTTTTCCCTGTCTCTACTGTTCTGTCTCTATTGGGACCAAGAGCTCTTTACATTCTTTATTCACCTCACTCTCAGCACTCTCCTTCTGCCTTATTTTGTACCCTAGCCAAAGTTTTTTGTCCGCCTGTCTAGACGGAAACAGAAGTGCATTATTCAGATATGTTTAAGTACTTTTGAATCTCTGTTTGTTGGTCTGGTGTTGCCGCCTTCTCAAGGAGCGCAGCATGACATATATTAGGCCTCAGAGGACATAAAGAGTGACTTTTCAAAAGCCCGTCAAAAATATGCCTCAACTGTATCTAATGAATAAATTTTATCGAGGCCATCTATTAAGTTACTCCTACCCCAGCAATGATGTAAAGGTTGAACTCCAATCCAGTGGAGTTTGTCTTGAAAGCAAGAGGCCCAATGTATGCATGGAATGTGCTCGCTTGCAATGTCTTCTGCATTCGTTTTAATGGAGGCAGCAGGCCTGTGTGAACTTAAGCTCCCTCCACGGGAATGAAGTGGGCAGTCCACTTTCAGGTGTGTCCACATTTGCATGCACAGGAACCTTGAGCAGAGGTAGGGGAATGACTCAGTCTAGTTATAACCAGGTTTTGTCACTGCAGTTCCAGCAGGAGCAGTTTATACTCTCTCCAGATTAGCTCAGAAAGAGGATGTAGCTGTAGCTGAAAAGAGTGACATTAGGAGTGGCTGGAAGACCATTATCATGTATCGATTGCAATCTGGGCTTCTTTCAGCTGATCCAGAATGATTTGGATGAAGAGGAGGAGCAGCGGAGCCCAAGCCAAGGGAGCCTTCGCTTCCGGCACAAGCAGCCCATTGAGCTCAAGGGCCCAGACGGGATCCACGTGGTCCACGGCAGCACAGGTACTCTCCTCACGTCCGACCTCAACAGCCTTCCTGAAGATGATCAGAAAGTGCTGGGCCGCTCCTTGGAGACACTGACTGCCGACGGTGGGGCGTACTGTGACCGGAACGCCCGCACCGAGTCCGCCAAATCCACCCCTATGCACAAGATGAGGGAAGTGATCATGGAGAGCCCACTGGAAATCACAGAGTTATGACTAGAAGTGGCATCACTGGTGTAGCACTCCAAGGAGGCCTGGGCCCACACGGACTGGCGCTGCAAGGAGTGTCCTGACCCAGGGACAAATGTGGCAGAAGAAAATCTAGAGGCCAAGGTCACCTGGGCCTGGCCACCACGTGTTCCAGAACAAATATGACCAAGAAAGCCAACTGTTTTTTTATGGCAGCCTTGGGGAGCCGAACCCCAGGGGTGAAAGCTCTCAGGACTGTTTTGCTTTTACCAGGCACCCGCACCATTAAACTCATAACATTTTTATTTTTTAAATCTAAAGTGTTTTTTAAAGCAGTGGGCGGCCTTGAGGCATACACATAACTCTAGAATTGCAATAATCACGGTGCCATGTCCCATTAATGGAACTGACTGTGCTCTCCAGCTCCCTGGGCTGCATTAACATGTTTCTCTCCCCACAATGGCATGGTGGGGGTTGGAAAAGATGGCTGCCAACAGAATGCAGCTAAAATGATTTTGGGACTATGAACTTACACACAGGGATCATATGTTAAACATCAAGAAGCTCCACAAATTTGGCATTAATCTGTATTGTCCCATTTCTAGAAGGGAAAAACCTGAAGCCATTTCTTCATTTTGCTGGCTTACCAAAACACTGCAGCATCAAAAGAAACAAAGTGACATTAATTCAGGTTCTGAACGTAGTGTGTTGGTGTGTGTTTTTTTTTCCTCTACCTTTTGTTTTCAAACAGTAAAGTGTTGAGAGTTTTTGGAATGGTCTGTCAAAGGAACCAGAAATACATTATACATGAATTTGGTTAATCTGTCTTTTATCTTTCCCGCTCCAACTGTCATGGACAGTTTTCCGACTTTGAGTTCAGTGCACCATATTATACAAGCTGAGGAATTTGAGCAATAATTGTGCTTCTCAACATACCAGCCTGTACCTCCTCTCTCCATAAAACTATCAAGGAAGATGATTCTGAGTGTGCATTATTTAGGAGGTTTTTCTATAACATGCACACAATTCTGGCATTTGTCGAAATTATGCAAGTTAAGCAAATCTATTTACATCAGTCTGCTTTCATAGTTCAGATTTTCAGAGGTTCTGATATAGCTGGGAGGGCGAAAGCATTTGGGGAGGAAAAAAGCAAGACCTGAAGAGCTACTTGGCTAAGAGTACCAACTGCGGCATGAAGAAGTTAGAAATGCAGGACACCTTCAATGCCCGCTACAAGATTTCAGGTAGCATAACATAAAATATTAAGTTTGGTTAAAATGAATTAGATCTCACAGGACTGAGACATACTCCTTGACTGCTAGGAACTAATCCTCCCTCTTTCGTATGTTCATTAGATACTGCCTATTTTCCTCCAAATTTTCCTAGGCCTAGAAGACAGCTTTCAAAAATGAGAAGGCAATATTCTCAAGACACCAAATTCCATGCTGGATATCATATGCATAGGCCATAATCCAGAAACCTTAAATCTTACATACACCGAATACAACTTTTGTCTCATTTCTTGAACTCCGGATCTCACCTCTTTATTCTCCAAATGTCTTTATTCTTTGTCCTAAAATCAAATGTTTTGCTGGAAATGCATTACACAGTTCTCATGACTATGATTTTAAACCACAGACATAGGAAATACACATAACAGAGATCACATAATGTGCTGGGTAAAGATGTAAAGAGCTACTTACGTTCTATCCTGATCACGTGTGTCAGAGATTCCAGGCAGGGTCGCAACATTTAAGCAAGAATCAAATATACTGATTTGTTTAATAAAACCAAGCATCAATGTTAACTTTATAAGAACACTTTAATGTTTCTTAATTACAGAAGCTTTGGTAAAATGCTCATAGTAATGTTCTTTTGGGAGCAACTGGATATTTTTCCATGATACATTTTGAGCAGAGCCCAAAGTCATGCACAGAATGTATGGAAGACTCACACGTTTTCAAGAAAGTTCAAATTCTACCCTTTCTCTGCCCACAATGGTAACCAGATTCAGAGAGCAGTACTCCTCCATAGAAGGAGAAATTGGGGTAGATGGGGGAAAAGCCAGGCCTACACAAATTGCTTCTATCCAACTGTTGAAAATACAAATATACAAGATATGCAGTGCTTCCCGACCAATGGGGCATCATTTTGTATGTCTTTGAGGTCATTCACATTTTCAAATGTCTGTGTAATTGCTGTCACAAAAAGCTATGGTTTTGGGGTTTGTTTCTGTACAAGTAGTGTTAACGCGCAGAACCCTAAATCAAGGCTGAATTGCTTAATGCTGGCTGTTTCTTGAATACTTTCATGCAGTCCGTCCTGCAGTACAGAAAAGGTCAAATGCAATACTTGCTCCTCTGTCTGCTGCTCAACATTTCACCACATCATACAAGGAGTAGCAGTCACTCCTTGTTGTTCTTACTCAATCAAACTCTTTTAGCAAACTACCCCACTCGTTCCAATCAAAAGCCAGCAGCTGGTAATTTCTGCCTCACAGTGTAATCCGACACATGGCTACTCAGAAGCAAGCAAGCCTCACTGAATTTAATGGGCATCACCTTCAGGCTAGCAAGGACAGGATTGCAGCCTTAATCTAAACTCCGTGCACCAGTTCCTCTGACCCAGCATGCTTCTGCACATGCTTCCAGTGCGAAGGTGCCAGTACATTATTCTTTTTATTCTATGTATTCAAATATTTATTTACCAACCTTCAATAAATTAAATTTCATGTCATGACGTTCATCTGTGCCTGCATGAAAGTCTGGTCGCACCTTCCACACACAAAGAGATGCCCATTCCCATGTGGGACCACTGGTTTCTGCTGAGCATGGGAAAGACAAGTGTGCATTCCAAGCAAGAAAGCTTTTAAAAGAGAGTGGGTTCAGGCCAAACTAATAAAAGGAACAACTTCTTTTCTCGCCCTGTATCTGCCCATACTTCATCTAGACAATTGAACAGTGCTTTCCTGGCAAACTATTTCTGTGTGTGTGTGGTGGGTGGTTACAGTCAGCATTTAAGTAGAGATGTCAGCAGGTGCAAGTTCAGACACCCATCAAAGAGTTAGAAAATGAGAAAGCGATTTTCCTTCCCATTTTAATGCAAGAAGCAAATGCAAAAGTACTCACGTGCAAGGAGCTGGGGGGACAACGCAGCATGTACTTGCTTGTGCAAGCTTTAAGGTCTAATCTGGCATCTCCACTTAAAATATCTCAGTTACACGGCTTTGAAAAGTCGTTCGCCTAAAACTTGGAAGACCTGCTGCTAATCAGAGGAGTCAATGATGCACTGGCTGAAAGGTATAACTTGAATACTAAAAATTTCTTTTTCAATGTATAGGAAACTTTCAGAGCACATCAGTGTTGAGGAAAGATAGGAAGTCTCCTTGTGAGAAACATCATAGGTTCTAGCAATCACATAATGCTAATTTCCAGGACTCCTTGAAGAGAACTATGGAAGATTAAAGCAAGTTAGAATGGTTAAAATGTATATTAAAAGTCATGATTTGGGAAGGTTTTGAAAGGGTACATGTGAAAGATAAATGCCTTAGCGGAGTACTGTCATTTTACATCCACTGAGTTTGTAGACCTTGGTGGGTCGTTTAACGCATGTGTCAACAAAGTCCTAAACCATCTGCCCCAAACTACACAATGACATGTTCAAAATTCAGCATTCATTTGCATGCTCTTATGGGTGGGAAGGAATGGAAATACACAATTGCCAGCTTAGGCAGCTGGTCTGTTCTCATTATTATGTAGTTATTCTATTGTGATAAAGCAATTGACTCATATTATAAAGAAACATAATGTAAGGAAATTCTTACCTACTTAAGTGAATCCCACACCCTTCCAGCCTCTCTTTTCCCACCCACGTCCCTTCCTCACCATGACTCAAGAATCAAAGTGACATCTAAGGTGATTCAGAGCATCATGAACAAAGGGTTGCCTCTGTGCAGTTGAAATACTAGATGGGCAGCCACTCTGCAAACTAAGTGAAGGGTGAGAAAGGAAGATGGAGTTCTGCTAAGGGATAGACCTCCCACTGCTTTCTATCCAGCCAAATTCCAGGATACATTCATTGAAGCCACCGCCAACCTTCTTCCAAGGGCCTTCTTCTAGTTCCATACATGACGTTTGCAGTATGCAGTGGCCTATGGGTAAAGGAGAGAGAACTCATCAAAAAGTTCTGATTGACTGATGAGCCCCCTGGACATACAGGCACACCTGAGCCTCCACTCCTTTTCTTTCTGCTGTGATAGAAATTGTGATGGGACTTTTTCCGGTCAATTGTTCTTGCTTCTAATTCAATTTAAATAAAGTGCCTGGCTACAGCCAGCGAGATCTGTGCATGCAGACAGGTTCTGGCACATACAGCTAGTGCTGACGCAGACGGACTCTTGTGCTTGCCCAGCCCCTTGAACCACCTGCACGCATCATGATACGAACCCGTGCCCAGCCATGGACCTCTTGGCACGGTGCACAACAAAAGCCGAATCAGGACCAGAAGCACACTCACACGTGAAAGTAACGGGACTTCACCAGACAACAGAGGTGTGCAAAGCTGCTGTCAGCATGTCAGTGTTTCTCAGCAAGGTATTTCAGACACAAGGTTCTAAAACCCATCCTTCACAACCCATGTTCTGCATCACTTTGCTATGTATTTGCACCACCCTGCTAACAAAGGAGGGAGCAGATCCACGCACACAAGGCAATGTGTATCGAGGGTTCACCTCCTCGACTGCAGGCCCTTCAGATGTTTCAGCCAACAACTCCCATCACTCCTCCCTACTGAATGTGTTGGCAAGGGCTGTTGGGAGCTGTAGGCCCAAACGTCTGAAAGGCCACAGGTTGCCCATCCTGCATGAACAGAGCAGGCTGCACCCCACGCTGGCAAACGCCCGTTGCTGATTTGCCACCCGCGTCCCATGGCGTCGCAATGCTCCCTCCCCCTGGAGAGCCCCCCGGCCTTACGCGGCACTGTGCTGCTGTTCCCTTGTTCGTGCACCAGTAGCGAGGGCCCCAGGCACAGGCCTCCATGCCCAGGAGGTGCGATTCAGGGCAGACTCCGATTTTCTGTGCGGTGAACAAGCAGAGTACAAATGATCAGCGCTGACGCAAACGGCACTCCCGTCTCGCTGCAGCGATGGCAAGCCTTTTTCCTCCTCGGCTGCAAGAAGTCCCCAGGCAGCTTTCCAGGTCACTGTGAATCACTGAGCAAACTGCCTTTTGATCTCCTGTTTTATTAGCCAAACCATGCAAGGCTTAGCAAGAGATTTTTGCAGCGCAATGCAGCGTGACACATACTAATAGTCTAGGTTCTCTCTATCTCTAATATAAGCTGGAACACAGGGAATGACCAAATACGATTCAGAAACAAACATTAAGTCTGTCGGAGGACTCGGAACACCCAGGCAATAGACTATTCTACTTTTACATCAGCTGCAGATTTCATTACATACTGCCATAGATCCCAAGAGAAGCAGAGACTCAGTCACTACCAGAGACTCAGTCCACATTCAGACTTCGATTATGGATGCTTCCTAATCAGAAAGCAATTAGTGGCTATTCCACCCCTTCTTAGCTAATAGCTTTTTTTAAAAAAGCAGATAGAAGAAATGTCAAGACAATAATGGGAGGGCAACAAACAGAAGACAGAGGTGTGCAGAAGCCGCTGTAAGATCCCTGAATGCAGAAGAGCATTGGCAGAGCAAGAGTCTTCTCGGAAAGCGCCCACTAGCAAGGGGGGGAGTTGTCAGACCTTCGGCCCTGCAGAGCACGCCCAGTCTACCCGTTGCTTCATGGCTCTCGGAAGTCAGGCCAGCCTCTGGGAAGCAACGGTGCAATCAAGTACATCTCTGCTCAGGAGTAGGTCCTGTTCAGTCCCATGGGACATACTCCCGGACAGTGTGCACGGATCTGCAGCCTAAACTGCTCATCAAGATTTCTACTGCGGCTCAGAGCCAGCTTTAAAGGTTACTCACTGCACACACGAAAGTTGGCTCCATGACCTCTATCAGGAGGTGGACCGCAGCCGGCTCGTACTGCTGCACAAGCTCATCACACTGTAACAAACAAAAGGAGTAAAGCTGGACCTGCTGTTGCAGGCGGCTCTCAGGCCATGGAACGGCCTGCACAGTAACCTTTCAATCAAATGTTTTCATGAATTACGCTGAAGGCAGAGGGTCCACAGCAGTCTTGCCCAAGTGCATGCAGTATTAAACTACAATGTCCATCAGCTGTTTGAAAACAATAGGAGTTGTAGTCCAACACACCTGGAAGATCCCTGGTCAGAAAGCTAGTTCCAGCATATACAGGAACTGCTTTATGTACAAAGCTTCCTAAGTCTGGCTCATTCATTCCCCAAAATTCTTGAGCAGGAATTCCCACATTTATCATGCATTTTTACTCATCTTCTCAACAGTATTTTGGAAAATGCTGGGTTTTTTTAAAGTTCCACCCACTCAGGAATCCCCAGCTCTTATTTTAGGCAAATCTTGTTGGTGAGTCTATGAGGAGCTACATTTTCTTCTAATATATTTTTACGGTAAGAGTAATTTCGGCAGAAAACGCTTCTCCTCTTGCTCACAGCGTCAGCCTGGCATATTGGCAAACTGCCCAACGGGCTTGGCAGGAGGGCAGAACTGGCCCAAGATGTGTGTGCCCCTCTGACATGCACACGCATGTCGAGATGCACGGCAGCCACGTCTAGTCACGTGATTTGGCTCCTGAGGCAGGACGGCCCACAGGAACCCTTCCAATCTGAGACAGTGAAAATACAATAGTTACAAGCTGAATAAATAGCCATTTACTGCCTTTCATGATGCACAAAACTGGCTGTCTGAGGTGGCTGCCTCCCTCTGTCTAATAGCATGATGAGCTGTGCAAGAGAGTAGGAAATAAAACTCCCAGTCTCCTCCCTCCTCTTTAGAAAAGTTCAGATCTCTCTTCCACAGTCCCCACTTGACATACTTACTGAATACACCAAAGCTTCTGGGAGCAACTGGCAACCTCTGGCAAGCATGGACTGAATCTGTTCCTGTGTTTCGTTCTTCTCCAACTCATCATCCAAGTATTGAATGAGAACTGTACATACATTACAGAACTCGTTTTTGTTGTATTTGGGTAGTTGCTGAAGAGCTACCGGCTCTGAGAAAAAGAAGAAGACACCAGAGAGTTTGCAACCTGAAAACACAGCTTCTGTCTATCTATCTATAGCCTTTTCAGCTTAAAAGTACCCCAAGACAGCTAACAGCAAAGGGCAAAACCATCAACTAAAGCATAGCAACAGTAAAACAGTAAAAGCTAATATATCATCCAATATATTAATTTAGGTAATAGGTGAAAATATGGTTGGTGAAAGACAGGTGTCCTTGGGAAGCCTGTTCCTCGGCTGGGGTGCCACCACCAAGAAGGCCGCATCTCTGGTCAGCACCTGCTCACCCTGAGAAGGTTAGAAGCCCCCTGACAAGAACGTTGCGAACCACCTTTCTTGGTAAAAGAGCAGAATAGAAGTCTTTTTAAAAGGGCACCATTGAAATAAACTCACTCCAGGCCACCCGCTGGAATGCACAAGCAAGCTCCATGACTTACCAGCATTTGAAGAGGTGTCTGAGGGGCAACATTTGATTTTAATACACACAAATTCAGGTTTAGTTGCTTCCAGGAGCATCGTAATAACAGCTTTTCCATAGGAACTGACAAAGTCCTTGCACGTGGGTAAGACTTCACTGGGCAGCACATCACAGACTTTCACCATTTGATGGACTATTTCCTCCTGTAACATAAAGGTAGAAAGGTAAGGCTGGCAGGTAGGCAGGCAAGAATGAAACAACTTGTATTTCTGTACTGCCTCTCCAAAACCAGCCATGGTTGTTTCTATCAGTTCAGAGAACAAGAATCATAAGCACACACAGATGTAATAAAACAATAAAAGTAACCTTAAAAAGATGACAATTTAAAAACAAATTTAAAAGAGGCATCCTTAGCACTTCTTGCATGCAAAGAGAGTGGAGACCGGCAGAAGTCCAGGAGTTTAGGAGCAATGCAGGTGAAAGCCCTTTCTGGCATGCCCCCCAAGCAGACTTACCTCTGAAAGCCAGGGTGTCTTCAAAAAGGCCCATTCTCCTTGTGTTTACCAAGGTAGCCAGGCCCTAATCTGTTCATGGTTTTACAGGTCAAAACAAACTTCTTGAACGGAGCCCTGAAAACAACCAGTAACCTGTGCAGATCTTTCGGAATTGGGGTGATCCAGATACTGCAGGCACCAACACTGTCGACCTGTCTAAGCTTCTAGGCCCTCTTCAAGAGATGCACCCTTCTAGACTGTGCTGCCATAATCTAGCCATGACAAAGCTACAGCAGAAAACTCTTGCCAGGTCAGACTGACTAAGGGAAATAGATCTCTTTCCTTTGCTCTGTGAACAGCGAAAACTAGATTGACTAGTTAATAGAATAACCCAGCTGGGGTGTGACCACAGACAAGGAGATTAAGGGTCTCGACCTTAGAGTGTTAGGTGGAAGAGGGGATTTGGACTGATGAAGGGGTGAGAAAAGTGGCACCTGCTTGAATCCCTTCCTTCTAGCAGGCCCATCTCCTTAAAACTGGAGGGAAGCTTCCTCAATTATTTCTCCTTCTATACCGCCCTCAGAGGTTGCCTAGTCAAGCTAAACCTACCTGTGTTTCCATAGCAAGTGCAGGCTAAAATGCAAGGCCTTTATACAAATGGAAATTAGGCACCGATTGAACTACCCAACCTGAGGAACCCAAGAGTCAGTTCCCGGCTGAGCCACGTGTCCCTCTCAGCAACAAGACAGCAAGCTTCCCCCACATACCAGAGGTCACCTCAGCCTTACTTACTTCTGTGCTATTGCTCTCCACCATGTTCTCTGCTATCTGAACCATGTTCTTGCATATGCCACATAAAATGGGCGTCTGTTCACCATTTAGAGATTTCTGCAAAAGGAAGGCTTGTTAAATCAAATGCAGCTTTATTTAAAATGGGGCAAAGGAAAGCAATGTAACAAAAGAATAATCAGAGTGCTAAGGCAGAAGTAAACCTTCCAGAGAAAAGGGCACATGATTTTTGGTTATTTTTTCCAATGATTGCTTTGAAATTGTTTAAACTGTTCTGTCTATTTAGGAATCATTGTCCTCACTCTGAATTAACGTCCCTTTCCTTCCTTCAGGTACTTCCATACATAACCAAACTGGATTGCAGTAGGATCATTCCATTCACTGCGTGTCCCTGATTGACTGGGATCTGATACAAAGCCGACGTGACTGACACAGGAAGAATCACCCCTTCCTTTCCACCGATTTCGTTTCCCCGTAAATCAGAGCTGGACAAGTAGCCGTCCTCCAGATGTTTTAGCCTACAATTCCCATCACCGCTGGTCAACCCAGCCAATGGTGAAGGAGAGAGAGATCTGGAGGGCCATGAGTTGCCCACACCTGCCTCAAATGATGCCACATAGCCAGAACTCAGAAGTTACCAGCTTTGTGATTGCATCCCAATCCCAATCCAGTGTATGACTAGGATTGTCCAGACACAAGAAGAAATTAGCAGGGGGGAAATTGCACCAAAGCAGCAACACACGGGGGGGGGGGGGGGTGAAACAGTTGGAGTATATAATTTAGAAAATGGGGGATCAGCAATTGTTTGTTGGGTTTTTTCATCCCAGTCTTCCCAAGTCTTCCCAAGGCCCGGGTGCAACCTGAAACCATCACCACACCCAGAGAGCCTAATGTGAATATCTGTCGCCTCCTCCCACCCTCCATCTTAAGCCTTGACCACATGCGGACTCCAGGGCTTCAGCATCACCTGCCCTTTCTTACCCACCACATTGTTTTCCATCTAGACAGGTTTCATTTACTACATTTCTAAACCACCCGACAGGAGAACCTCTCCAAGCTGTTTAACACCCAAAAAAACCCACTTTATAAAAACCAGATACGTACATATGTACAAACCACAGGGAGGCACAATAGAAGAACAATCAGGAAGAAAAATTCCAGATCTAATTAAAACTTCAGCATGTGCTGCCAAGAAGAGTGCCTTAGCCAAATGCCCAAAGAGAACAATGCAGTGCCAGGGAGGATTCGTCCCATAATTGGGGGACACTACCAAGAAGGCCTCCTCCTTGTTCCCACCTTCCCAAATTCCCTTAGAGCAGGGACCTAGAGGAAGGCTCTATTCAATGAACAGAATGCATGGTAGGTTCATGCAAATAGAGTAACTGAAGAGTTTGGGAACATTCAAAAGCCTGCACATAATTTTGTGACTTTTGAGCTGGCCCTTATATAGATTTTGAATCCTGCCCCCACTAACTTTGTTTTGCCCATTATTAATCTTTATCCAGATTTTACATTACTCAGGTTTAACATCTGGCAGACCCTTAACATTATCCTTAGATTTTGTTTTAGGCAAAATTCAGCATCCTCTAGACATGTGCTGAACACTCTTGCAATGCCTTTCTGTATTCATAACTATGCATTTTGCTTCTCCTGAAATGCCTCTGATGTTTTGCGCAAGGAAGAGCCTCCCGATTCCCCTAGCAAACCTGAGCAGCAGCATCTCTGCTGCAGCAGAGCTCCATCTCTTTCTTTGCTGGGCAGAACATGAAGGGCCCCCGTTAAACTTACCTCCACAGCTGCTGCTGGGTAAGAGGCCTGTGGGTGGTGGTTGGCAGGCAGCAATGTATGAAAAGGCTCCGGCTGTGCAGCTCCACAGTTTTCGGCTTGACTGCAAACACCCTTGGGTGGCTGGAATGTGGAAAAGTTCCTTTAGGGACCAGGGCTCAATTGCTCTTGTCGCCATGATGCAACCTTGTTCTCAGGGTGCTGTTGTTTTAAATACTCTGGCGCAATATTCAGGGCCAGGCTACTGCAGGAAGAAGGGCAGCGAAAGCCCCCTGCTGCCCCCCACCCTCGAAATCAGGAATTCTATCACCTGCCACTGCGCTCTCACTTCACGGTGCCTCAACCAGAGCTCCTTTCAGCCAGGCGTATCTGGTTGCAATTACCCAGCCCACAGGTACTTCGCAAAACATAACTTAAGAATGAAGAGCAGGCCACCAGAAGGCAGCGTATTCTCACATACCTGATCCTGTGATCAGTGACATGGCAGGCAAGGAGAAAGAGGGAAAAAAGGAAAAAGTATTCAGAGAATTTCTACAAGCTGAATTAGCAAAAACAGACAATTAGAAATCCTCACCCAGCAGCACCCAGTTTTAGCTACCTTTTCTCGTACCAATGGTAGATTATAGATTCATAGAATAGTAGGGTCAGAGGGGGCCAAGAAGACCATCGGGTCCAGCCCCCTGCTGGTGCAGGACACCAAGTCACATCATCCCACTCAGATGGCTGCCCAGTTTTGTACTGAATGTCTCTAGTGTGGGATTGCCCACGGCCTTTCTTGGGAACTGGTTCTACTGTTGTATTGCTCTGGCAGTGAGGAAGTTTTTCCTCCCACATTTTTTTTGTTTGTTTAGTTGTAAAGTCATGCCCGACCCATCGCGACCCCATGGACAACACTCCTCCAGGTCTTCCTGTCCTCCACCACCCCCTGGAGTCCACCTAAGCTCACGCTGACAGCCCCAATGACTCCCTCTAGCCACCTCATTCTCTGCCGTCCCCTTCTCCTTTTGCTGTCAAACGTTCCCAGCATCAGGGTCTTCTCCAGGGAGTCCTTCCTTCTCATGGTGGTGACTCTCCTCCCACCCACCGTCCCCCTTCCTCTCAGTCTGTCAGGCAGTACCTCAGCAGACACCAAAGGAAGGAACGAGGCGCCTCTCTTGGACAGCTGCAAGAGCATGCTGGGCTCAGCTCCCTGGGGCTGTCCAGCAGTCGTGGTTACACAGACAGGGCTCATGCTCTGCAGTACGGCAGAGAGGAGGAGGGAGGTGAAAAGGCATCCTTGCCCGGAAGGAGTGGGAGCCGTGCTCGATCCACACTCGGGCAAGCGAGAGGGAATCAGCCGGGCAGCCCTGCCAAAAGGAGCTGCGCCACTCGCCTCATCCCCTCTCGGTGCCCCACATACACGCCGCGTGTGCACAGGCGGGAGGGAGACATCAGCCAGGTCGGGGCTGCACTGCTCAGCCGTTGTTGCCCATCCATCCCTCTCGATTGCTCCCGCTTGCCAGAGAGGCATCTCCAGCCTGGCACCCGCCCACGCACCTCTCTTGCAAGGGGCAGCAACAGGAGGGGGCGGAGTTTGTTCCCTGGGTTGGGGAGGCCTCTCGGACAAGTGGGGCTGGGAGTAGGGGGCGGCAGGAAAGCAGGCACTGCTGCCGTTGTGCACTGGGGGTTTGGTGGGGGGATCCGCTGAGCAGCACTGCTCCTTTCTGCAGTGCTGCCCCGCTGATTGCCCACTCCCGCCCCACGGAAGAGGGCAGGAGGCAGGGTGGGGCAAGAGGTGTGTGTAGTGGGGACCCCTCTGGCATTCACACAGAACGACAGCCGTCCATGGCACGGAGACTCAGGAGATCTGGGTTCTGGTCCCCGTTCAGCCATGGACGTCCTGGGTGACTTTGAGCCATTTAGAGAACTGTGAGGGCCGCCCTGAGTTCCTTGAAAGGAAAAAGGTGTGATATAAATATATCAAGAAATAAAGAATGAACTTACCAATAGGTGAATTAGAAATTGCACAAAACCATGTGAGTACATGAAGGCGTATTTCTTGCACTGCGGAAGAAAAACAGCTCCAGTAAGTACTACCAGATCAGCCCATGATCGTCAACACACACAGAGCTTGCAGAACTCCGGCCTAGCTGCACGGGGAGGGCACCAAGCTGGCCGAGGCTCGACTAAGAACTATTTGCTGTTCTAGCTCACCTTCCATTCAACCCGAGTTGGACAGTCCAAGTATCATGAGGGAACTCGGGTTGATTTCTCAGCTTCATCTTTGTGAACTTACATGCAAGGAAGGCAACATCTTTCCCAAGCCCATCTGCTGCCTTCCAGCATTAAACAAGATTATCATGGAACAGGGGGAACAAGACCTATCCGGATGATTGTGTGATGATTAGACATGAGATCGGACACGTGAAGCTTGTCTGAATCTATCCTTTCAATAACAAATTGCAGGTACAGTTGTTGCTGGATCAAAAAGGTATCAGTTTTCCATGAGCAAATGGATTGGTTGATTTTTTTAAAAATCTAAACATTTTTTTAAACATCTAAACAAACTAAGCCATATTATAACAATGCTAGTCAAAGAAACAGCAGCTTTATTGAAAAGTGGCTTTTCTACATATAACAACACAAAAGGTTGTCCCGGTCCCACTGGTCACCAAGCACCTTACCACACGCCATGCTATTTATTTTTTTCACATATCGCATTTCCAGTCAGCTGCCAAACCAGTACAAAACCTCATGAGGCCTTTCCCTGTCATATTCACCCAGTCCTTTGAGTAGAAGATTGAATGGGTTACCTCCTCTACCAGGTCAGGCTGCAGATGTTCACAACGCTCTCTGACATGCACAGCTAAGGACTGGACAAGGAAGGGGCTGTTCCGCATGGATTCCTGCATCTCAGCAGCTACCTTTGAGCAGTCCCGACAGGGGTTCTCTTCTTTCTAAACAAACAGAAGGTGAGAGGAGAGAAATACAGGGTTCAGTCCATCCACAGTGCTGCCAAAGCTGCTCTAGCAAAGGCAGTGACGTTTAGGATTTAGTTATTATGAAGGCTTTGAAAAGCCCACATCTGGGGCAGAGGAGGATAAGCACACCTTTGGACAGGCAAAACCGGATTAATTCAGTTTGCCAACAAGAAAGAAACATCCTTGCATGCAAAAACCTTACGCAAGCACTCTTTGCTTGGTGTACACACATTCAAATCAGTCCCATTCTCTTGACATGCCAGTGAAGATCAGACTAGAAATGGGTGAAGATTTGTACCTGCAGGTATGAGCAATCTGTATAATCAACAGCGAGTGCAATTTGTTTAGAGTGATGCACTCGCGAGCACTTGAGCCTATCCATGGCTGGGGGTGTTTCCAGAGGAGGCTCTCACTATAGAATCCTGCTCATGAATTTTACAGGAGTCCAGATGATGCCTGTCACCCTCCCACATTTTTCAGCTGCTTTTTCCTACCAGGAAAAAACTGACTGAGGAGGGAAAGACAGAAAGGCTGCACAATGGCTTTGGTAGCCCTCTATCTGGATGCACACAAACTGCTGCTGTTCAACTGGGTGAATGTAGTCCACCTGCACATTGTGTGTGTGTGTGTGGGGGGGTTAATCAGGGGAGGGCAGAAAAAGATCTCCTGATGTCCTGGACATCAGCTCCCAGCCACTGGCCATGGTGATGGGGGCTTCTTGGAATGAAGTTCAAAACACCTTCGAATTTGTCTTGTATCTACTTCTAGTGGAAATACTTGCTCAAGAGGAAGTCTGAACAGCCCAAGAACATGGACTTTGGAGAGGTGAAGTTCCTTCCCTCTCCTTGCCATGGTCTCAGAGGCTGCTGTTTGCATTAGACGTTTGCTGGTCCCACTGGGGGTAGCAGAGCTTTCCCCTGAAATGCAAATGTAATGCAAGGAGAGAGGATTTACTTACAAGAAATGCTAAGGAGCAAATGAGCATTTTTGGTCACAAACTTTTGGGCTGACTATGGGTCCAATATAGAATATCATTCTAATATGAACTAGGCCAGCCTGGCACCTTTTGGAGTCTGAGACAAAAGAATAAACCCTTTCCACCTCCTAGCCTATTTCCCCTTTGTCCAGAGAGGAGGAGGAGGAGGAGTGGAGTTGGGGGCTCTTAACCACTGCATTTGCCTTAAGGAAGAAAAGCACAGTAGCCCCCTGTCTTCCTTCAGCTGTTTTCCTCTCTCCAGCCTGGCAAAAAGGATGAGCAGGGCTGGGCTACCAGCCACAGTGCTTGCCTTCCTCTGGCAGAAGCAGAAGCAGGATCCAGACACTTGGTCTCACTTTCCTCCGAAGAAGTAAGACCAAGTACCCAGTCCTTCCACCATGTGTGTAGGGAAGTGGCATCCTGAGGAACCCAGGACTCCCCCGCAGGAGAGTAAGATGGCCCATGTGCCATCCCTCTTGCTCTCCTGCATCAGTAGGAATCCAGGAGAACTGACAAGAGTCACACTTCACTAACCATTATCAGCTGGAGTCCCTTGGTGAATGACAATGCTTTTCTGTTGCACTGCCAACGGGATCTTTCATTTTCAGCTTGCCTGAGGGTCAATTAACCCCTAGAACAAGCCAGGGGCAACAGGTTCACCCTGCCTGGGTAATAAGGTGGGATATCATGTCATGGCACCCAGCCACACAGTCCTCCAAAAACTTGCATGGAACTGTGTTTGGACAAGGTGGTCCTGAGAAATGAGAAATTGCTTTGGACCTTCACAGCCCTCCCAGGGTAAGATGGTGCAGCCAGGGCCCCTTTCCGCCTGCTCTGAGAATTCCCCATCCTTCTTGTGTAGAGCTGCTGGAACGCAGGAGTCAGATCTACCCTGATTACTTCCTCACCAAAGGTTGAGAGAGAGGCTCATCTTGAGGGTAGAGGAGAAGAGGCACATTAGCTATGAAGGGGGCCCACATTTCAGCAAAGTCTATCCCTTCCGGAATTTTATCCGACTTTAATGGCTTCTGGAATTTCAGGGGTCCTTGCAGGGTTTCTTGAGGACTGCACAACCTGAAAGCATTACACGGAATTTCCGGTTTATCCTAGGAAAAAGCAGGAGAGAAAGCAAGAAACTAGGTCATAAGAGGACACAGCCAATCCCTAAAGAGGAGAAGCAATTAAAATGTTTGAAGTTGTCTCTTTTAATTTGCCCGTGCAAACGAAAATGACTCCCTCACGGCAAGCGTAGTTACTCATAAGAACGTTGTTGCTGTTTTGAGAATTCACAAGAGACACACACACTTCTGCCTCAAAAGACGTGGGGAGAAAACACCCAAATAGGAAAGTCTTCTCCATGTACTAAAAACAACTTTTTAACTTCAAGAATTGGTGCCCAAATTTGTCCTTTTCCCTCTTCTCTCACCATCCTTTTTATTGTATCTTTTAGATGGTCAGTGCATGAGACAGAAAACAGCCTTGATTTTATTAATTGTATGCAAACTGCTCTGAGAGCCTTTGTGGCAAAGCAGCAGGATGAAAACACCTTAAATAAACAAACAAACATCAAAAAGCTACTGAAGCCTTTCAACCTAAGGCATGAGGCTGGAAATTGACATTTTTCCTGCAGGGTACTGAAGTTGTATGATGGAGTCCACATTCTCCGTAGTGTGCACACATACCTTTATCACCATTGGTGAAACAGGTTTTGCAGGTTTCTGTAGTACCTCAAACACTTGCAAAACCTGTTTGACTTGCAGTGAACACCAGTGGCTTTTAAAGAGTTTCAACTAGCTTGAAAAATATAAATAATTCAGTGCACTGTGTGTCTTCAACCTCAACTAGAAAAGTTGGCAAATTCCCAACACAGACACCTTCCATTGTCCTGCTTCTGTTAAATGACTGAACACTATTTGGGTAGAAAGAAAATATTTACAATTCAACAAGCCCAACTAATTAATAATTTATTCTGTTCAAAATCTAGTTATGTGACCATGGAGCATTAAGTGAAGACCCTGGCATTTTTCCAGATATTTTAGCCTTTCCATTTCTCTTTTAAATCTGTGTTCTATCCGCTATTGTATTTTGGAAAGATGTATCTGTTGTTTCAACCATCACGATCGTATCGAAAACATGCATCTATACATCTTTGTATGGCTGCTTCAAAGCTATGGCTTTGTAAAGGCTTTAGTTTGAGTTTTACTTACATTTTATACTATAGTTTTAAACTTTTATAGTCTATCTTCACTTGTATGTTATTGATTCTTGTGAACCTGATGGAGAATGTTAGCTATCCGGTAGTGTAAAAATGTAATAAATAATCACTGACGTATTAGGAAAACCATAATTTAGGCAGGAATGTATTTTCAGTACCGGTGTGAGCAAAAGAAAAATCAATTCTCTTCTCAGTTCTGTCCTGGGGAATATCTAAATCCAACTTACACATCCAGCTCAGTTGGAATCAGCCAGAAATACCCTGCAATCCTGCACAGGAGTTGCTGTGCTGCTGTTAACACTCGACTCTTAGAGAGGAAACACAGCAGGTCTGGTGTGAAAGAAATATATGCTTTACTTAAGATGCAACTGTCAGGTCATGTGGCTTCTGAAAGAGGTGTAGTGGATGAGGCACCAGCTTGTCCTCCATCAGGCAAGCAAAATATCTTGGACCAGCTATGAACTTCCTTGCCAATTTACCTGCATTTGTTTGCCAAGCTCTACAAGAATGATAACTCCAGTGTCCACCATCTTCTTGCATTTGACTAACCAGTCCTGGAAGGGGAGATACTGGCATCCCCTCTCCAAAACCTTGCAGAGCTTTTCCTAAGGAAAAGGGGGGAAACAGGGTGTGAGAGAAAAGCATTCCATATCAAGCTTCAGTTGAGGGTACTTGAAATCAAGTAATGGCAAGTCCAGGAGCACAGAGCATATTAAGAACATCTTAAGGAATGGTGTTTCCTTCCAGTTTCAGATTTAAGCACATCAAGCACGCTCCTTGGAATCATAAAAAGAGGAGTGCTTTCCCTAATTTAGAAATAAACAGACTTCAATACAATGGGTTCATCAAACATAGATGGTAGAATAAAATAATTTTATAGCATATGTAGGGCTGCCAGTTTGGGAACCATATCATGTAGTTATACATTTTAGCAGTAACTTCAAAAAATAACCCTTCTTCACATATAGCAAAGACTCATCTGTGGATTTCTGCAAATCAAGCTGTCGTACTATTCAAAGTAAAAAACCAGGCCTGGGTTTTCTGGCTGCTTGTTTTGCTTGAATCCCAGTGAGTTGCCAACCTTAACTGCATTCCCAGATACAGTAATTCATAGATTGGGATGGGATGAAAATCTCCTCCACCGATCTACTTACATCTGTGGAATTGTCTTGTACAATCTTCGCCATCATTACTACAATGAGTTTACACATAGAACATTTCAGGCTTTTCTGAGGAAGAAGAGAGCGTTACTTATGAGACTGGTATATTTTTGTATTTGTAAGAAACATTTCTATACTGTTTCTCATTTGCAAAAATCTTGATTCGGTTTACAACATCCTGCAACAATCCAATAAAATAGTAATGATATAAAATTAGAGAAAGTTCAAAACAGCTCATGACTAGAGGAAAGCCAAAGCAAAAATACACATTCTCAATAAACGCCTAAAATATACCACTCTTTTTAGACAAAACTTGACTAGCATGTCATATGCATGTGAAAGAGATCTTGGGCTAAATTCTGTCTATGTTGATTGCACCTAGTTCCCTCTGAAATCTATGCAACAGGACTTAAAGTTTATATGAATTTTTGCCAGTGGCTACCTCTTTCATAATTATATGTAGTTCTGACCTCTCTTACCAGGAGAATGAGAGGTCAGCAATGCAATGCAATTGACTGAACAGTTATTTTGATCTAGGTGCCCTCCAAAGTTTATAGCCTCAACATAAAACATTCCAGATGATTTGAACAACTCCCACCAGCCACAGCCAGCATGACCAGTGACTGGGGATGATGGGAGCTGCATTCCAACTCATTTGGAGGACAAAGGTCGCCTACCCTGTCTAGGCAGGCAGCAAATACTCTCTCCACTTCAAACCGACATTCCATAAGGGTTTTTTTTAAAAGGTCAGAATAACCAAATGTAGTTTTCAGTACTAACTTAAACAGGACTGTTTTGTGTAGATGCACAATATACAAGACTGACTGTATTCCACAGTTATGCTGCACAAGCAGAGGGAACTCATATGGGCAAGGCTGGTCTTAACTGCACTTGGGGACTGGGTGACTTCTGAGTGCACAAAGGAGAAGGAAACACTGGCCTGGTCCTTTTTTTCTGGCAATCTGATTACTCAGATTATGTTGCTTACATAGCGCAAGCAAAATGTACTCTGTGCATGCTTGGAACACATTGTCATCCATTCTCATATTCCTTGGGCAAATCTATTACTAAAATGACAAGCAAACAAACAAAACTGAAAGGGCACTTATGATGGGGGTTGGAAAGGTGTCTATATTCTGTAGTGTCTACTCACCACTGGGGTATTAAGACCCATCACTTGCTGGCAGTAATCCAAGGTCCCACACTTCAGCGCTGTAGGAAAGTCCTGACACCATGTTTCCGGGCTCTCTTGACACTCTCTCTGCCCGGAAGGAGGGCGTGCAGCAGCTGCCCACGAGAAGAAATGAAGCCTTAGATTTCAGTTGCACACTGAAAATATTTGTCGACTTACAATGAAAATAAGTGCTGTTTCCAATCAGTTATAGACTTGTTCTCTACCGTCTTTTTAAAATTATGTCTTTTTCATTTTGCATCCGAAGGGAGGAGGAATCTAGGACCAGAGGGCCAGGCCTTGAGGCCTAGTTCAGCCATGTGTAAAATGGGAACAGTGACTTAGGAGCATCATCAAATCTGAAAAGCACAGTAGTGCGGTATAAATGGCTGCCTATATTTGAAAACAAAACCCCTAATATGATAGTTTAAAACATTGCTGATAATATTTCTGTCTAATGGGTGAGCTAGGCTGCAGGGAATATTGCAAACCTTATTCTGGTGGGATAGTGAAACACCCCCTTCACATGATGACTCACTCATTTATCATACTAAATCATGTTTTATTACTGTACAAGGGTCCTCTGCTCTCTGCATGTTTGCTACAATTCCTTCACTTCATTGTGTTTGCAAATCATCATTTTAGCAACAATGGAACACAGCCAGTTTAAAACAACAGTACTATAAAAAGCATAGCTTTTTCTTCAAGTCAGACATCAACAATCTGTAATGCATACAGTAATTGTAGCAGATGGAAGGTTGACACTGGAGATAAATCACTAGCTAAATCATAAATCTCAATTATTCTCACTATCATAAATGTAGCCGCCATACTATAAACAATGAAAATAAAAGTGACTTGTTGGAAAATACCAATGCATGCTTTTGGTCTTTTCATGACACTTATTACATTAGATTTATATCCCATATGATTTCCTCTTGTGAGGAACCCAAGGTGGCTTGCATAGCTCCATGTTATCCTCACAACAACAACCCCGCGGGGTTGGTTGGATCAAGAGATCACAACTGGCCTAAGTCATTCAGTGAGTTTCATTGCAAAGTAGGAACTAGAACTGAAGTTTCCCCCTTCTCCCATTCAATGCTCTAACCACCACACCACTGATCGTGCTACCAGTGCTCAAATTATGTGGGTGGAAAGTAAGAGGGCCTTTAATGAAATCAAAAAGCCCACATTTGCCTCTCTGGCTGCGATTTTGATCAAACCCTCATTTAAGTTCTCTTAGCTCTATTTACATACAAACTAAAAAGAAATGAAACAGAAGCAGCACTAATGAGTAGATTCCTCCAGAATTACCCCACCCCCCATTTCAGCGTGTATTAGCAGGTGATAATGTTCAGCTCTTCCGTCATTAAATGCTTCACTGCTTATGTGTTAAAGTACACTAACAACTAGAACTTTTAATACCATTAATACTTTGTTACTACTTAGGTTGTTTTGGAGTCAGGTTTGCTCATCTGTTTTGGACAGATGGTGTTTGGCTCTAGATATGTAAAAAGGCAAGGAATGACTCCAATAATAGTTTTTAACATCAAGATTGACTAAAATGCAATGGCTCATCAGCTACAATTTGATCCTTATGCTAAACTAAGTTTTGGAATACAGTTTTGAAAATTGAGAGATGACTTTTCTGGGGAGGAGCTGGTTGAAGTTATACTTTAGTACATAGTTTGGAGAGGCAAAATTTACCATATTCATCATTACAGATTAGACATCATATACTTCTGTCCTGTGCCTGGTGGTAGCCCATCTGGGCTCTGTATTTGTTGGAATCTGAGACTGAAGAGGGTGCTGGTGTTCAATCTATTTTGGACTCCACATAGATTTGCTAAGAAGCTGACTAGGTCTGCTGAAAGCTGGCAATGTAATGCAAACAATGAGGCATAGGATGTGGACATCTTCCTTGGGGTTACAAGTGCTCTTTTTTTTCTTAAAAATTTCTGATATCTAATCTGTCGGTGCACAGAAGGACAGCAAAAATGGATTCCAAGATGCTACTAGTTGCAATAATACTTCTGATTTTTAAGGAGAAAGACCTACATTTAATGGACTGAAGATCTCATTGCTCTAGCTACATTTGAGCCTATCTCATACAAAAGTCATATGGGTGAATATTTAGATATTTAGACTGCTTATATTAATGTATTAATGAAATAGAAATGTTAGATCCTTTCCCCTGTTGGTCTATCCTCCCTTTGCCCCCATATCAGTGAAGGTTTTTAATTATTACTATGCATTGATGTTTATTGATATAAATATTCTTCCAAAAATTTTTATTTTTGCTTTGTTGTAGCAGTATTATAAATGTAAAGATGAAATAAGCAATGAAATGCTTTGCTGCAGCTCATACTTATTTTAAACCTCACAGGTTTGTCGTTGTGGGGATAAGACTGAGAGCAGCAAGAGGAGAATTATGTAAGCCAGTCTGAGTTCTTTGTAAGAATAAAGGTGGATATAAATCTAATGAATAAACAAAGTGCCCACATGCTTGCCAAATTCATAACATCCCCTGCAGCCACTTCAGAAGGGTGTGAAGTACCCAAAATGCAGCAGTGCTACGTACATTGAGTTCTTGTGCCTTGAACAATTCACAGAAGTGCCCTGTAGTTTGGGTTAACACCATAATGCAGCGGTTCCCAGGCTGCGAGATTGTTAAATCATTTAGCTTAATAAGTGCTCTTATTTAATATAAATTTATTTGTTATTTATTTATTTTTCAATTTATAGCCTGCCTTTTCCTACAAAGGGCTCAAGGCAGCTTACATCATTTCTCCTCCTCCATCTTATCCCCACAACAACAACAACCCTGTGAGGTAGGTTGGGCTGAGAGGCAGCGACTGGCCCAAAGTCACCCAGTTGGCTCCATGGCTGAGCGGGGACTCGAACCCAGATCTCCTGAGTCCCAGTCCCATGCTCTTAACTACTACACCGCACAGGGTTTTAGCTTATTTGATACACAGAGAGACCCGATTCCTCCAGTCTCCAAGAAGCACTTTTTACTTACCTTGGGCATTTACACCTTAGCTCAGGCTTTCCCAACCTGGTACCCTCCCGTTGTACTGGACTACGTTTATCTTCAGGCAGCGTGCAACGCATCTGGTGGGCACCGGGTTGAAACAGTTTGCCTTAAGTTTATTGCCGCAAAACATTTTCAATACGTCATGCAGCTGCACCTCTGAAGATGCAAATTTCAAAATGTGACTGCCGGGGTTTAACTGGAGTTGTTCAATGTGATGTACAGATCTACAGGTATAACTTTCATTGCTAAAATTGTGCAATCATTGACACATAGCCATGTCAAAGAAAAGCCCTCTTTTCTAGAAATCAGCATGGTACATCCTTGAAATGAAGCTGAACTTAACCGGGCACCGTTCCAGAGAGAGCCGATTGACTCTCAACAGAAAGCAGCTCAAACAGAGAGCAGTTCACACGAACCTGCCCCATCCTCCTCTCCTCCCCATCCAGATCTTCTTTCTGCTTTGGTATGTAGGCAGGAAAGATCGCACCATTGTAACTTTTTTAAACTTCTGTGACCTATTAGAAAGTGTTAGGTGTGTTCCGTGTAAACCCTTTAACGATCAGCGTATAAAATGGCCGACATAGGACTGCTCAGGTGCACCATCTGAAACAATTGGTCGGCTGTCGGTTATTCTCAAGAATAAAGCTTTTGAAAGAAAACCTTCCTCTATTGTGTATGTTGGATGTACACACACCAGGACACCGAGCATTTGGTCCACAGAAGGCATCAGATCATTTCACTGTTATAGCACAAACATGGATTCTGTCTTCCCCTCAATAGAAGTATGGTAGGTAGGAGCCTGGCCTCACAGGAACACGTTGCAAGCACTTCCTAATTTGCACCGCAGCTAATGTCCTCTCTTAGCTGGTTCGCTTCAGGCTTTCTTGAGCTTTGCTGCAAACCTGACAGTAGCTGCAAAGGACGGCGAATGCATCTTCCTAGCAGCATCATAGCATTTCCTGTTTTAATACAACCTATGTTGGGGTGGCTAGCTCTGGAACTGGCAATTAAAATGCAATATATTTGGTTTGTTTGCCTCTTCCAACCACCATCTACTCAGGCACGACACTCATCCTCTGGGCCTTCCTCCAAGGGAGGTTGGAGGGTGGCAACAAAGCAGCAGGCCTTCTCTGTGCCACCCCACCCCATCTTTGGAGCAACCTCCCCACGGAGCCCCAGTGGGTGCCAAACTTGCCATCTTTTTGGGACCAAGTCAAGGACAGCTCTTTATGGTGAGGCCTTTAAGGACTACATGGTTACCCAGGGGCCTGAGGTAATTATCCAGGTGATTCTTTTTCTTCTGCAAGTTCATTTCTGCCTGTATGTGTTTAGCCATTTAAAATTAATTTTAAAGTTATTTTGTTTTTATACTTGTATTGTCTGTTATTGTTCTGTTTAATGCACTGTTGTAAACTGCCCAGATAGCATCAGCTATGGGGTTTTAGAGAAATGAAACATTGCTGTTTTGTTGACTATTGTTAGCCTCCTGAACTGTTTTATAGAAGGGGAAGGATATAATATGCCAAGAAGGCTTGGAGTTTGTAGGTCCAAGACCCTTCACTAACCCCAGAGGTAGAGAGATGGCAATTCCTGCGCTGATAGTCACTGTCCTGTCTGCTCTCTCCTCCTGCCTGTAGGTTGGAATCCTTGTGGATCAAGTGATGCTACATGAAGGTCTGGATCTTGTGCTAAGATTTCCAGTTGCTGATCCCGACCCTACAAGTATCCTCTGATCATTTCAAAGTGATAGGCCCCTTGAAGTTGTTTCAGATGAACACCTTTGTCCAGGCCTGAAAGAACAAAACCTTGCAAAACCGTCTTCTTCTCAGAATTATTTAAGATAGCCATAGAGCTAGCCATGTTGAAACATAAGTAAGATTCCAACCCTCATATTAAAGTAATTACCAATTCCTTATTAGTGTAAGTGTAATAATTTCCACTGTTTTCAGGTCAAGCCTATTTCAAGGCTATGTTTAAGTAGAGCAAGTTTGAGATTTTCCAATAAGCTAGAGACCAAAGTAATTTGTTTCTTCTGCTCAACAGGAAATATTCCAAAGGTAGATAACTTGCTCAACAGGA